TTTGTGGTTTACCCACCCAGAAATGGTATCTATGAATGAGCATACTTGTCTCTGAGGTAACATCATCACTTCGTTATTACAACTTCCACAGTTGTACTCACACTTTGGATTACACATGCTGCGTTTAAGAAACTTCAGTGTGAGATCATCACTGAAGTATTGCACCTACTGTTGGCATGACAACCGCAGGGTGACCACTCAGCTGCTGGATATGATCTAAGTGTTCGATAATAAAATGCAAGCGCTAGGTGCGCACTCACAACCTGCGTGTTCAGTAATATCCTGTCTGTTTTCTCTAGTGACGGACGAAATATCCATACCACCACAAAATAGCTATGCAAGTCCAATACACAGACGGATCCTCTACATGTGCCTACTGTCTTGCCAAGGAGAACCACATGTCAGGTGTCACATCCAAGTGTCGAGAATCACAAGTCAGGTGTCACATCCAAGTTCAGAGAACCACGTGTCACGGGTCACATCCAAGTGTCCAGAACCATATGTCAGGTGCCACATTCAAGTGTCGAGAACTAAATGCCAGGTGTCACATCCAAATGTCGAGAACCACATGTCAGGTGTCACATCCAAGTGTCGAGAACCACATGTCAGGTGTCACATCCACATATCGAGAACCATATGCAAGGTGTCACATTCAAGTATTGAGAACCACATGTCAGGTGTCACATTCAAGTATTGAGAACCACATGTCAGGTGTCACATCCACATTTTGAGAACCACATGCAAGGTGTCACATTCAAGTATTGAGAACCACATGTCAGGGGTCACGTCCTAGTGTCGAGAACCACATGTCAGGTGTCACGTCCTAGTGTCGAGAACCACGTGTCAGGGGTCACATTCAAGTGTCGAGAACCACATGTCAGGTGTCACGTCCTAGTGTCGAGAACCACATGTCAGGTGTCACGTCCAAGTATTGAGAACCACATGTCAGGGGTCATATCCACGTCAGGGGTCATATCCACATGTCAAGGGTCACATCCAAGTGTCGAGAACCACATGTCAGATGTCATATCCAAGTGTCGAGAACCACATGTCAGGTGTCACATCCAAGTGTCGAGAACCACATGTCAGGTGTCACATCCAAGTGTCGAGAACCACATGTCAGGTGTCACATCCACATATCGAGAACCATATGCAAGGTGTCACATTCAAGTATTGAGAACCACATGTCAGGTGTCACATTCAAGTATTGAGAACCACATGTCAGGTGTCACATCCACATTTTGAGAACCACATGCAAGGTGTCACATTCAAGTATTGAGAACCACATGTCAGGGGTCACGTCCTAGTGTCGAGAACCACATGTCAGGTGTCACGTCCTAGTGTCGAGAACCACGTGTCAGGGGTCACATTCAAGTGTCGAGAACCACATGTCAGGTGTCACGTCCTAGTGTCGAGAACCACATGTCAGGTGTCACGTCCAAGTATTGAGAACCACATGTCAGGGGTCATATCCACGTCAGGGGTCATATCCACATGTCAAGGGTCACATCCTAGTGCCGAGAACCTAATGTCAGGTGTCATATCCAAGTATCGAGAACCACATGTCAGGTGTCATATCCAAGTGTCGAGAACCACATGTCAGGTTTCATATCCAAGTGTCAGGAACCACGTGTCAGGGGTCACGTCCAAGTATTGAGAACCACGTGTCAGGGGTCACGTCCAAGTATTGAGAACCACATGTCAGTGGTCATATCCACGTCAGGGGTCATATCCACATGTCAAGGGTCACATCCAAGTGTCGAGAACCACATGTCAGGTGTCACATCCACATTTTGAGAACCACATGCAAGGTGTCACATTCAAGTATTGAGAACCACATGTCAGGGGTCACGTCCTAGTGCCGAGAACCACATGTCAGGTGTCACATCCAAGTGTCGAGAACCACATGTCAGGTGTCACATCCAAGTGTCGAGAACAACATGTCAGGTGTCACATCCAAGTATTGAGAACCACATGTCAGGTGTCACACTCAAGTGTCGAGAACCACATGTCAGGTGTCACGTCCAAGTATTGAGAACCACATGTCAGTGGTCATATCCACGTCAGGGGTCATATCCACATGTCAAGGGTCACATCCAAGTGCCGAGAACCACATGTCAGGTGTCACACTCAAGTGTCGAGAACCACATGTCAGGTGTCACGTCCAAGTATTGAGAACCACATGTCAGGTGTCACATCCAAGTGTCGAGAACCACATGTCAGGTGTCACGTCCAAGTATTGAGAACCACATGTCAGTGGTCATATCCACGTCAGGGGTCATATCCACATGTCAAGGGTCACATCCAAGTGTCGAGAACCACATGTCAGGTGTCACATCCAAGTGCCGAGAACCACATGTCAGGTGTCATATCCAAGTGTCGAGAACCACATGTCAGGTGTCACGTCCAAGTATTGAGAACCACATGTCAGGTGTCATATCCAAGTGTCGAGAACAACATTTCAGGTGTCACATCTAAGTATTGAGAACCACATGTCAGGGGTCATATCCACATGCCAAGGGTCACATCCTAGTGCCGAGAGCCACATGTCAGGGTCACAACCTAGTATCAAGAACCTCACGTCATCGGTCACATCCAAATTGTCAAAAATAACAGGTCATAGGTCATATCCACGTATCTCTTATGTATGTGGAGTGTCGAGAAGTAACCAGGGACATAGAACACAGTGTGTGGGTATGTATGTGGAGTGTCGAGAAGTAACCATGGACATAGAACACATTGTGTGGGTATGTATGTGGAGTGTCGAGAAGTAACCATGGACATAGAACACAGTGTGTGGGTATGTATGTGGAGTGTTGATAAGTAACCAGGGATATAGAACAATGTGTGTGGGTATGTATGTGGAGTGTTGATAAGTAACCAGGGATGTAGAACACAGTGTGTGGGTATGTATGTGGAGTGTCGAGAAGTAACCAGGGACATAGAACACAGTTTGTGGGTATGTATGTGGAGTGTCGAGAAGTAACTAGGGACATAGAACACAGTTTGTGGGTATGTATGTGGAGTGTCGAGAAGTAACTAGGGACATAGAACACAGTTTGTGGGTATGTATGTGGAGTGTCGAGAAGTAACCAGGGACATAGAACACAGTTTGTGGGTATGTATGTGGAGTGTCGAGAAGTAACTAGGGACATAGAACACAGTTTGTGGGTATGTATGTGGAGTGTCGAGAAGTAACTAGGGACATAGAACACAGTTTGTGGGTATGTTTGTGGAGTGTCGAGAAGTAACTGGGGACATAGAATCAATTATTTATGATGGATTTACTCATCCATGGATAAAAAGAGAGGGGAATTGCGCAAGTTGCGAAGTGTCTGTTGACTAAAGATGTCAGCTTGCTTCGGGAGATTGAGGATTGAATCATGGTTGTCCACTCTGGCTTCTACACACCCATCCTGAGATTTAAATTATCTCAGTCTGGACGGCAGACCGACAAGACAGATCACAGACATCCCGTTCCGTCTCCAAAGAAGTTATCATTAGGGCAACCATGACAGCGATCCCAGCCAGGCGGGAACATCGGTCTCATGTGGTGAGCAAATGTAGTGGGGCTTTGGTACCAGGTGACGGCTGACTGAGTTCAGGTAGACAGGTGTGATTGGAGATCGGTGGCTGTAGGCCTCAGGATGAGAAGCACCTAAAGGCGGGGTTTAACCACACCTGTGGGTGGCATGTCACCAGGTACAAGAGTGATCAATGCACATTTATTGATTGGGGAAAGGGGGGGGGGGGGTTTAAAATCCCAGAGAATCAATGACATGACCTGACATGACATATTGAGCGGATAATGTCTTGGCAATTAGGTCAAATTTCCGAGTGTAGCCGAAGCGGCTCAGAAGCTAGCACTTTTGCTTGCTGGTCCGGTGGGTTTGTGTCCGAAATGTCAGTATGTTTTTTACTGTTAAAGGTAGAATTGTGTAATGGTAAATGTTGTATTTTGGCAAGTAGGGGTAAATATTAGATCTTCATACATTCAAGGCAGCGAAATACAAAGGTGGGGGTGATGAGTTCTCTTCATCGTTCGCTTTCTTGTCCTGAAGATTCACAGAAATCTGTGCGATACTCAGACCTGTGTCAGGGTCGATATGCTTGTGTGTCAGTGTTAACTGACTATTGTGTGTCAGTGTCGACATGTTTGTGTGTCAGTTTTACCATGTTTGTGTGTCAGTGTTAACATTATTGCCTGTCAGTGTCGACATGTCTATCAGATTTGCCATGTTTGTGTGTCAGTGTGAACATGTTTGGGTGTGAGGCTTAATATGTTTTTGTGTCAGGGTTAAAACGCTTGTGTGTCAGATCAACCACGTGTCAGAACTAGCCAGGGACGTAGCCCAGGCCAATGTATTGACTAATAAAAAATGTGTTGTATATAATAGTAATAATTACAATATTATTAATAATGATAATCTTCTGTATTTGTGTGTGTGTGTGTGTTTGCATGTGTTGGTGAGTGCGTGTGTAGTATGTTAAGGATAAATGTCAAAATGACCTCACGTGCTGCTTACTCTAATGCTCAACAATGAAAAATAGCCCTTGCGAGGTTAGCAGACTCAAATGACACATTTGCCATAAATATGCATTGCTTCAATACACCCTTGTCTGTTAATTGGCTATCAGAGTGATAGAGAGAGAGAGAGAGAGAGAGAGAGAGAGAGAGAGAGAGAGAGAGAGAGACGAAGAGAGAGACAGAGAGAAAGAGAGAGAGAGATAGATAGAAAGAGAGAGAGAGAGACAGAGGGCGGAGGACAGAAAGTACGACATAGATACAGCTGAAACATATTCAATGGACCAATACATTTTTTCACACATCCATCCACTTTTCCACCTATCCACTCATTCTTACTCACTCTACTAAGCATTCATACATGCATCCACTCACCACAATCTGTTTTCATAATTCTTTAACCAGTATAAAAATCACACATAAAGGATCACAGGTCACGTGGCTCAGTGATTGTTAGCCATTTATTCTCAATTAATGCAATGTCGCAAGTAAGTCTGTTCCCCGCGGTCACACACGCCTAGTTTAGCTTGACCTGATTCTCAATCAGAATGGCATCCGCCAACAGAACACGGCTGATCACAGGTGGCTGATTGATCTGCAGCTCCTGCTGCCTGCTGCCACAGCAGTGACCACAACTGTTGCTGGTCAGTCTACTGGTCAGTCTACTGGTCAGTTGCTGAATTTCATTTCTCTGAACCCAGCGTCAAATTAGCACCAGGGAACTCTACTGGGAGGAAACAAGAGGACGAACAAGCGACGACACCATCAGACATGGAATATAGGTTGATCTCAAACCGTTGGAGCAGCACATTGGGTCTAGTGTGCTCGCTGGCATCAGGGATTCTTGATACTTGACATGACAATCTAAGAGCTCCCATCGACGGCCATTTGGGTCACGTTTGTATTGTCATAAGGGTCACACACGACAATTTACGGAAGTTATATGATATAAATGATGACTTGTAAAGGGCCGCATGTTTGACGTGCCGGCTTCACATTGTGTTTGTACACATGAACATCATGTATGAATTCTTTTACAGAAGGTTGCTCCCAGGATTGTCATTCTAGATGTTTTACATCTGGATGTTTTTGCTTGCGTCCAGATTTTTTTTTTTTTTTGACGTTTAGATGTTAGATTAAATTTTAGATGTTTTTGTTTAATCTGAAGGTAGATATTTTACAATTTTATTTTTAAAGTGTGAGTTTAATAATTATGGTATAAAATATTCATTACATTTGTATTGTTTTGGTCTCGGCATGCTGAAATTATGATAACTGCTATTATTGAAACTCAGTGGGGCCAACGCTCTACAATCTGGCAGCCCCCGTACTGATTAAGAACGTGCGTATATTATAGTACCATTGTTTGAGCCGTGTGAACCCAGTGTGTTGGGAATTATTGCTATGATGTCGACTGTGTGGTCCTTTTTGCAAGTGATTTTGGTTTTTGAAAATATTTGCTCGCCTTTATTTGTGTCTTCCACTTGTTTTAAAAACCATTCAACATGCGAAAACTAAAGCAATTTTACCCAAACAGTTCGTAACGGGTACTGCATAATGGCTGGGTGATGGCAGCTGCTGGGGACGCGACTAAGGCTCGTTGTAAGTGCTGCAAGTGCCAGATGAAGATGACAGTGCAAGACTCAAACAGCCATGCCAAGCCCGTCTCCATAAAACGAGCCAGGCTGGTGACGTCACCAAACCGCGCTAATGATATGTTTAGTGTTAACTCTGACAGTCCCGGTTGTGGGTGTGTTCCATGACGTGCCCCACAAAAACACTAGGAATACGCTTGAGAATGAAACATATATATATAGTTGCACACAATATGATAACATAAAAACATAAAGTACAACAGAAACTACTTAAATTTTTAGCTACAGTATGTCCCATGTAGTCACATAATCCTTTGTAAATTTAAATTATTGATTGAACTCAGCAAGAATATAATCGTTTTGGAATTTCCCATAGTTATTTCCCCCCCCCCCCCCAATTTTTTTATTTTTTTGGGTGATGGCAACACTTTGGAAGCAATGTTTACTTTAGAAGAGCCTTCGCCATAGACACCACCTACTTCATCATCGAAAAATAGGTGTAAACTGGGTGAAACGATGTGCAAAAGCAATTATTTATGATGTTTGCAGGCTAGAAATTTGGTACTTTAAACCAGCCAGTCTCATTTTTTCGTTAAAATCTGCAGCTCTTTCTGCGTCTCCCCTATATCTCTAACCGGATTTTGTTAGATATTCCCTCTATCTGTTTGCTCTGTGAGTTTCCGTGAAAGGACATTATAGTTATAACAGACAAACCACAAAATTGCACATTAAAACGTTGAAGCGGTACAACAGATTATCTCACACGAATGTTTGTCTGCATGTGTACTCGGATGTCTGCATGTGTATTCCGATGTGTGCAGTCGTATGCTGGTGTGTACACTTGTGTACATATATCTTTATGAGTATAAATGTGTGTACAAAAGGCGTACACATGGGCTAAAGTCCATTGCTAGTGTAGAGTTGTGCTATCTTCTGCTTGTAAAGGTTCCTCAGGGCTGGTCGTTTGTTCTTCAGGGTCGGAGTCAGAAGGTCATTGTCTACGGTGAATGGGTTCGACTCCAAATATATGTCTTTAACCTGAAAGCAACACAGGGATGATGCTGATTATATTTATTATGATTATGAGGCGGAGGAGGAGGAGGCTGGGGGAAGGGGTGTTCGGGAGGCCTAAGATAACGATAATGTTGCTGATAGTGATGGTACAGATGATCACATTACTGATACTGCTACAATTACTACTGCTTGTGAAATTACTACTAAGACTAATGCTGCTGCTACTACTACTGCTGCTACTACTACTCTTGTTGCTACTGTTGCTGCTACTGTTGCTGCTACTGCTACTACAAGGTTGTTTTGTCTTTTCTCTATGAAAATGGGCAGTTACTCAAAGCATTTAAAACAACTGCCCTTGACCATAAAGTGTTTCACAGAGAAGCGAAGAAAAGGGAGGGGAAAACGTGCCTTAAAAGAGCTCCTACTGTGTAGATACGTCCCGCCAGAAAAAAGTCACAACTACTACTATTACTATTACCATTAGATCAGCGATTACTATTACTATTACAGCGGCGATTACTCTTACTATTACCTTTACAGCAGCGATTACTGTTACCATCAGTTTTATAGCAGCGATCATTATTACTATTACTTTTACAGCAACGATTATTTTTACTATTACAGCCGTGATTGCTTTTACTTTTACAACAGCGACTACTATTAAATTTACAACAGCGACTACCATTACATCAGCGACTACTATTACTTTTACAACAGGCCCGGCTCTCTGGCGTAGTTGGCTAAACCGGATTGCGCGGTGAGCGGGTGACGAACTCCTTGTGGTCCGGGTTCACTCCCGGGGGTGGGCAGAAAAGCCACATTTTCTCCCAGATTTACGGTATTTACAATGGAATCAAGGCCGAAAGGTTGCGATATCCATAATACTGAGCCTAAGGGTTAAAAACTCATGGCTTCTGGTTACTAAAACAAACAAACAACTTTTACAACAGCACCACAACGTCTAGAGGGAGAGTGGAAGCCTAAGCAGCAACGGCAGCTGTCTGAGAGCTGGACAGTTGTACAGCCAGACATGCTCATAAAGCTGACTGACGGGGCACATTTGGGGGGAGGGGGAGGGACAAACTGGTATTTTGCTCTCATAGTAACTTCCATCACTCAGAAAAAAAAACATGGTAAATTTGTGTGTGTGTGTGCGTGTGTGTGTGTGTGTGTGTGTGTGTGTGTGTCTGTGTGTGGACAAATTAGTTGGGGGGGGGGGAGAATAAAAACACGAGGTGAGGGGGGTATTACAATTGAGTGTGAATGATGAGCAGGCTGGTAACTTAACTCCAATGGCGCCACTGGACGGTGACTTACTCTAAGACAGAGCAGATATGGTAGAGCTCTCAGTGATTAGGTAAAGAGGACAACAGAATAGATAGTGCAGTGATTCAGCAGGGAGTCAACGGCGTGGTGGCGAGGGTGGGGGGGGGGGGGGTAGGTAAACGATTTTCTACATTCCGGGGAAACAACCGGCGAATGTCAAATGAGGTTGTAACCGGCACCACCAGTCCAATTTGGGATTTTCCTTGACTACTAAAGAACGGGACGGGCACGTATGGAAAAGTCCAGCGTGCAATGATTTCGATTGTTCATTCATTCATTCATTTATTATTTCATTGGTTTATTCATTATTTAATTTGTTCGTTCATATTGTTAAGTCGTATACCTGTTCAAAGGATTGCAGTCCTGCCTTCTTTCCCTGCGCAAACATGTCCTTGAGGACAATACCCTTGGCATCCTGTCAGTAGAGAAGGCAGAAACACTTAAATGTGGCTTCATGGAAACGTTACGTGCAAACTTTATTTAGACACTGTGTTTGGGAGGGAAGCACACTTACATGTGGCTTCATGGAAACGTTACGTGCTAACTTTATCTGGACACTGTGTTTGGGAGGGAAGCATTTTTGTGGTATTATATTGCAAATGAAATTGTTTACTATTTCATCGTCAGTAAACTGCCCTTTCACAAAGGAGGATGACTGTAAAAGTTATCAAAAAACCCGTTAACGTCCCTGTTGGAACACCCAAATACTGTGGCTGTGTGTGTCTTAATGCTATCTCCCCATCTCGACTGCTTGTACTTTTTCCTCGCCTGTCTCTAACGCTTCAACTGTGTGTGGTTTTCATCGTCTTCTTCTTACCTTTGACTGGCTGTAAACTCTAGTTCAAAGTTTTTGTTGTTCGTCCATATCTGTTTTATAGATCTGGCTTATTTATTTAAAAACCAAAAAATTGAAACTTATTAGTCGACTCTTATGATATCCTTGTTAGGAAGACAGTGGGTCAATCCACCCACACCCTCCCCCCCCCCCCCCCAATCTCACGAGGTGCCGAACACACACACGGGAAGTCTGGTTTTATAAGACATCCTGTTTTTTATTGTGGCCAAGGGGTTCATTCGTCTTTTGTTGTTGTTGTTGTTGTAATGTAACGACTGTGTAAACAGAGAGCACTGTAGCGGTTGTGTGAACAGAGAGCACTGTAGCGGTTGCGGTGTGAACTGTACCGGTTGGTATCCGAACAGGGAGAGCACTGTAAGCACAGGCGATTGCATCACATACAGTGTCACCATTGTGACTGTATGTATCTATTTATATGTGTATGTATATATACATATATATGTACTTGCACACATATAACATTTGACAATATTTGTGTTTTTTGGTCAAAGGTATATCTGCCTTATCTGATCATATTCGTTACAAGATCGATCCTAGCAGACTTAGACAATCAGACAACACACAAAAAGCCATGCTGCTGCAGCAAGTGCTGCTTCAGAGCTAGATATGTGGAGGCAAAGGTGCGACACGTACCTGGCGGCCACAGAAGTCAGCCAGGTCTGATGGGAAGCCGTTCTTGGGAGCCCACTTCTCCAGATACAGGACGTCAGGGACAACCACTGCCATCAGACAAGTCTGTGAAGGAGGAAACATGTTAAAGCAAAAACCTGTACACACAGGATCTAAACAAACTGTTCTAATCAATGCGCAAATAACCCCTAAACAATGAGACAAAATACAGCCCCTACCCATGGAGACAGAGACAGCCCCTACACAGTGAGACAGAGACAGCCCCCTACACAGTGAGACAAAAGACAGCCCCTACCCAGTAAGACAACAGACAGCTCCTACCCAGTGAGACAAAAGACAACCCCTACACAGTGAGACAAAAGACAACCCCTACCCAGTAAGACAAAAGACAGCCTCTACCCAGTGAGACAAAAGACAACCCCTACACAGTGAGACAAAAGACAACCCCTACCCAGTGAGACAAAAGACAACCCCTACACAGTGAGACAAAAGACAACCCCTACCCAGTAAGACAACAGTAGCCCCTACCCAGTGAGACAAAAGACAACCCCTACACAGTGAGACAAAAGACAACCCCTACCCAGTAAGACAAAAGACAACCCTTGCACAGTGAGACAAAAGACAACCCCTACACAGTGAGACAAAAGCGAATTCTCCTAAACATGTTACTTGTGAGACAAAACTAGAGCTATCTATTTTTAAAATATTATCTCATGCCAACAACGATGAACAGCCTAACTTGAGACGGTCTCCATCTACAAAGATATGCCTAGAAGCCTATCTTGAGACTGTATCCGATCTTAACTACCTGCCTGACAGATATAAAAGTCTACCTTCAGACTGTCTCCATTCATAACCTCTTTACAGATGCGCCACGAAATATTCGAAGATACATGAGTTTGGTTTTTTTTTTTTTTTTTATCTCTTACAAAAGAATAGTCATACTTGTACTTAGATTAAATAGATTAGGGAGCCGTGAAAAATTTATAATTGATAAAAGGTAGCGCGACTAAGAAACGTTTGGGAGACTCAGGCCTAGAAGCCTGCCTTAAGAACGTCTCTATCCACAAAGATCTGGCCTACAGAAATAAACAGCCTACCTTCAGACTGTCTCCATCTAAGAAGGCTTGACTGACAGAGATAAACAGCCTACCTTGAAACTATCTTTATCCCTATAGGTCTGCCCGAGAGAGACAAACAGCCTACATTGAGACTATCTCCATCCATATAGGTCTGCCTGACAGAGATAAACAGCCTACCTTGAGACTGTCTCCAACCCCAAAGATCTGACCGACAGAGATAAACAGCCTACCTTGAGACCTTCTCCACCCCCAAAGATCTGGCCGACAGAGATAAACAGCCTACCTTGAGACCTTCTCCACCCCCAAAGATCTGGCCGACAGAGATAAACAGCCTACCTTGAGACTGTCTCCATCCACAAAGATCTGCCCAACAAACGGACTATTCTGGTAGACATTCTCGATCTTCTCGGTGGCCACGTACTCGCCCTAGGGACAGGAACACCATGTTACGTTAGACTACCGGACGACACTGACTATTAAAGCTTATTGAAAAACTGGCGGGTGACTGATTGCCACAGACTAGTGGTATGCCTTATGCAATAATGCCTGTACATCTGCTGGTTTTGCAGTGACTGCTGCTATAATCAGCGATAAACTACAATTCTCGTGGCTCTCGTTAGTCGTGGCACTTCCGGTGGCTGCCCTATACGTTACATGGATTGTGGTAAAAATAATCTCTTGTTGACTTTTCTATTCAAGCAGTGGTAGACAGTTTGTGTTCTTTGACTTGTAACGGAGTTTAGCAGTTATTGGGTGACTCTTCTGATGCGACTCTGGAACGGCTACTGATCATCTCATAACCTGGTAGGTCCAGCTGGGAGTAGAATCTGCCATCATCTTTTGTGGGAAAGTCTGCACGGGGCGAGACTGTACGAGAATTGTAGTAATTCATCATTACTATGGTAGAAGTTTGTCACCTACGTATTGCACACCTGAGTGGATGGATAGCCTAGAAGTTTAATCTGTACAGTAGAAAGGAACACACCCATGAGTGGTTGTCGATTCCAACTGTTTGTAGAAGAGTGGGTAAAAAAATGTGTTAAACAACCACAGTTAGTCAGCAATAATAATAATAACACCCACAACAGTAATAGAAAGGGCAGTAGTCATAGTAGTTGTGATGTTACTGTGGTAGCAACAGAAGTAGTAGTTGTGATAGTGATCGTTACGATTGTGTTATTAGTATAGCACAGCAGCGGCGGCGGTGGTGTTGGTGGTAGTTGTAGTTCTGGGTACCAAAAGAAGGGCGCTCAGGCCATTAGAGTAGTCCACCTAAAAATGAGGATTGGGGTGGGGTGGGGAGTGGGGGGGGGGGGCCTAGTGACTCACTCCCATATAACTGTGTAAGAAGACTATCCAGCCCCCTTTAACTACGAATGTATAGAGAGCCAGGTGCATAGAAATAACAGCAAGCCAAAAAAAGGGGTGTGAGGGAGGAGGGGGGGGGGGGAGAAGGAAGCTAGAGAGAGAAGTTGAAAAGATGGGAAGGATATGGGATGAGCTGCATGGGCTGGCTGAGCGCCTGTGCTCGACTGGCGCAGAGAAGGCAGAAGAGGAAGACTGTAAGGAGTGTTAACGCACAACCCTTTTCAATTGCTTAATTACAAAAGCATAAAAGAAAAAACAGTAGGTGTAATAGAATTAAACAAAGCATATATTTGTAATGAATTATTCACCACACATTAGTCACCAAAAAGCAAAGTCGCCGCAAGCAAGCCAACATTGCTTAGTTAAGCGGATAATGCGGTCCTAATAAAAAGGATTGCGGTTGCTCACTGAACCAACCAGCATCTTAAACCTTAATAATATATTAACAAACCAGCCAGTACCTAAAAACCTAACAATCTAAAACACAACCGTTTACTAAATCACAACCAACAAAACAAAAAAATCAACCAATACTTCTTCTTCTTCTTTCTTTTTCCTCTTCTTCTTCTTCTTCTTCTTCTTCTTCTTCTTCTTCTTCTTCTTCTTCTTCTTCTTCTTCTTCTTCTTCTTCTTCTTCTTCTTCTTCTTCTTCTTCGTTTACCATTAAAAGTACATGGTTTGTTGTGTTGTGGTTTACAGCTAGGCTGTATTATATGTCTTTTGCCCTAAAAAGTCAATTTTTTCCCCAGCAAATCCATAATTAGTCACCTTTTACTCCAAGCTTAAAGAGGAATGAGTCTATGCCCCCCCCCCCCCACCCCAAACCCCACACTCCTCCTTTTTCCCAAAAGGGTCCAGGAACCCAAACGGGGACCCTCATTATTGCCTTGTGTGCATCTTTTGATTTATTTCATAACATAGTTATGTGATTACCCACAACGTCATATTTTCTCCTGGAAAACCTTGAAAAGTTGGTACTTGTTTTAATGGGAGTCGCTGTGGCCGAGCGGTTAGACGCTCACCACGGATCGGAAGGTCGTGGTTTCGCTCCCTGGGGGAGCTGGACTTTTTTCCAAAAATGACCTTGGCTCCCAGGTCGACCCAGCTTTGAGTGGGTACCGGGTGCAGTCCCGGGAAGTAAAGGTGGCTGGCGTGATGCTGACCACATCACCCATCTTGTGTCGATTGGTCTTTAAAAATACAGGTCTAGCCCTATATACCATATACGCCTTATGGCGTGGAAAGGGTCCTTTACTTTTTTACTTACCTGTATTAACACAGAATCCCTGCAGTCAACAAGAACATATGCTTACCTGTGCCAGTTTAAATATGTTCTTTTTCCTGTCGACTATCTTCAGAGTTCCCATCTGCAACAGAAACACAGAGCCGGGTCAAGCCACTGACAGGTGAGCTGCATATTTTTGGAATATATTTTAAATATTACCATCCATATTCTGTCTGTTGTGCTTTTATTTGGCCTTCCTGTATTTTTTTTTTTTTTTCTAGATAAACCACCCACTGGGGAAATTAAATTATATTACTCAACGATCATGGCAAATATAATTAAGCTCTAACTAAGCTACAAAGTCGCACACAGTGAAATGTTCAGCTTGCACTAATTCTTGTCCAGTGCACCTCGAGACTGCCCTGCCTCTAGTGCCCTTCATTTTTACTACCTCTAGGCTCGTTGACCATGAGGGCAATGAATCTTCACACAGCCACAGGATTTACAATGTCCTTAGAGACCAACAGCAGAAGACGAACAGTCGCATTCGTCTACAACAGAAGTCCGTCATTCACAAGAAAAGTCTTTTTATCGATGTAACAAGGCATAAAGTCTGCCTATCTCCACCCTCTAATCATGTGAAGTCTGTGAAGGTCTTCATGTGAGAGATGAGACATAAGCCGCTGCACTAGATTTAGAGGATGCGTACAATAGAGTACTATTTGAATACTTGTTGCACATTCTTCTCCAGCTGCAAGTATCTCCCTTCATCACTTGCTGGGTAGCCGCAGCACTGTTTCAGAGACGGTCCTCAGAACCGATAGCCATCAGTCCAGGACTTGCCTCAAGATTTTCCACTGTCTCCATTTATATTCAATGTGTATGCAGTGCTGATAACTGAGCAGCAGTTGCGCGGATTTGGTAAGACTTTGTCATTTTCTGATGACATCTTGGTATTTCAACATGGAAGAGATCGTCAAGAGATTCCCATTTCAATGCAAAGTGAACTTGATCGGATCTTCCCCTGGTGTTTAGATTCTAATGCTCATTTTAACCCTTCAAAGGCCTCAGTAACGTGGTTCTCCTTGAACACGCATATAGTGAAGGCTAACTTACCAGCAGTGAAAAGCAGCGAGGAAATTTTGACGAGAACAAATCTGATGACGTATCTGGGAGTGAGGTTTGATCGCAGACTGTCCTTCAAAGAACATGTTGAACATCTCATAATAAAAGCACTCAAAGGCCTGTCAGCAATGAGGGTCTTGGCGCGCTCATATTGAGCAAAGAAAGCTTCTGCTTCTGTATTAGGGACTTGTTCTTTCTCCTATCGAATATGCTCTAGACATTTTTACTGTCAGCCATTATCAGTCTGATAATGTCAAGAAAGAGGACAACAGACTAAACAAAAGCAAATCTTGGCTGGGTAGGGCAGAGGAGGACATCAAGCAGGTCTGTAGCCTTACAGGCATCCAACCTGGTGAGGCATGGAAACCAGTGTCTAAAGTGCTCAAGCCAACTTTCTCACGTGTCGTCACGCTTGATAGGAGTTGTCGGGAGCAGAATCCCATTGCTGTCAACGCTGAGGTCTGCGAGCTTATCGGTGTCAAGTATAATGAAACAGATGTGCTGATTTACACAGATGGGTTCGTTATACAAGGACGTAAGAGTACATGGGCGTTTACAGCTTTCTCTGCAGGCAAAATAGTCCAAGAAGCCAGCAGTGCCTTCTCCATTTTTTTTTTGGGGGGGGGGGTCCTAGGTATGAAGGCGTTGTTGGCAATGAAAGAGTTGATATACTGGCAGGTTTTGCATTAGTTGCGGATTGCCGGCCTATGGATCACGCCAACATTGTCAATGCCCTTAAAGAGAAAGGACATTCCAAGGATAATAGAAGCAATGTGTCTTCATCACGGAGTACCAGAACTGGGAGTAAAGCCAAACATGAGAGACACACCGGACGCACAAGAAGTCTTGTCAACCAGCATAGAACTGGCACTATTAACCACGCGACGCTGATGAATACGTTGAAGAGAAAATCTGAGCACCTATAGATGTGTCCGCAGTGCTGTAAACATAATCCAAGTCTTACATGATAAGTAAAGTCTTACATGTATAGAAGTGTTCACAAACAAGCTAAACCATCCGCTCTAGCTAGCCATTATACTCCGTTGCTCACTGTCATAAGCAAGCCCTGAGAGATACACTAGTTTATCTAAAACTTGCAATCAAACAGGTCTTCTACACGTACATTGCCACAGACACACATCTGTCATGCCACTCCAAACAAGCTTCTGTTCTTGTAAAGACAAACCAGCGCAAGCTCCTTCTTGATAGCAAAATATTTGCAGGTCTTTGTCTTCGATTATATTTCTTCTTACCATGTGCATGCACACAATGTCATGTAGCAGGTCCTTTGCAGAACGTCGCTCTCATCACTGTCTACATGAAAGTAATTCTTCCTCTCTCCAGATCTCCTGCCTCGTTCAACCTTTTACCAAAAGTGTCTCTTGTATTATGTGCCCATCTTTGTGCTGGTCGGCCCCTGACCCTCTTTCCTGGCACCCTGGCTTCAGCTAATAATCCTTCCAATCCGTCGGAAAGCTTGATATGGCAATAGTGTTTCAGTTTCTGGGACAAGAGGCTGTTTACTACCAAATCTTCTTTGATGTTCAAATGTTTTCTGGTGTCAGTATTTGTTGTCTTCTTGGTGTATGGTATTCTGAGAATCTTTCTAAAGCGTTTTATCTAAAAAGCCAATGTAATCTATTGAAATTAAATATCGTTCTCTCACAAATGTTTCCCTTTAGACCCTCACTGTTAACTGGGGTAATTGTAGTGAACCATTTTCTCCTTGATAAGTTATGTTCCAGACGGAATGACGTCAGCTAATAAATATGAATGAGATAGTTAAATATAACAAGGGCAGAGCCGTGAATCACGGACAAAATGTGGGCCAAAGGAAAACCTGTGGGAATCAGAAAACACTGAAAAGTCGTAATTATAATGTGGGCTTTAGAATATTATATAATGCCTTAGAAAGAGGATGTGGGCAGTCTCGTTTGGGCCAAGAAACTGGGTGCATGAAGAACGGAGGAGTGCCTGTTGGATCCAGAATGTGTTTGAGTCTACTTGGCCAGACAGCAACAACTGACGGAACCCCCGCAGCCAGCTGATTGTGTGTGTTTGCTAGGATGGAAATTAGTCGTTATCTTTCAATTGCTGTGGTGATGGAAAATGTGTTTTGTATCAAGGTATAGTTGATACTGTTGGTGTGTTATGATAGATATGAGTGACTGTGTTGTACCCTAACATGTACTGGCTGAAGAAACAGCGAGTGAAAAAATAAAGTGTGAAACCGCACTGTATCGTTCACTGCCGTCCATGTTTACTAGTGTGTTGACGGTCGGCACATGGACGGGAGTCTGCAAGTGACTGGAGCCAAAGACAATAAGAACAGAGTCATAGCAGTTATCTACCACTATGTCTAATGACTGACGTTTGTGTTAACTTGGGTAATCTACCACTATGTCGGATGACTGACGTCCGTGTTAACTGAGGTAATCTACCACTATGTCGGATGACTGACGTCCGTGTTAACAGGTAATCTACCACTATGTCGGATGACTGACGTCCGTGTTAACTGGAGTAATCTACCACTATGTCTAATGACTGACGTCTGTGTTAACTTGGGTAATCTACCACTATGTCGGATGACTGACGTCCGTGTTAACTGAGGTAATCTACCACTATGTCGGATGACTGACGTCCGTGTTAACTGGGGTAATCTACCACTATGTCGGATGACTGACGTCCGTGTTAACTGGGGTAATCTACCACTATGTCGGATGACTGACGTCCGTGTTAACTGGGGTAATCTACCATTATGTTGGATGACTGACGTCCGTGTTAACTGGGGTAATCTACCACTATGTCGGATGACTGACGTCCGTGTTAACTGGGGTAATCTACCACTATGTCGGATGACTGACGTCCGTGTTAACTGGGGTAATCTACCACTATGTCTAATGAATGACGTCCAAATCATGTCAAGATACCCTGTCTCAGCCAGTGGTCACTCCAGCCGCACCTACTGCTGTTCATTTTGTATGCCTGTTGGGGTTTCCTCTGCAGTCTAAAGGTGAATCCTGCTTGTCATCCTTACAGAACTCTATTGCAGAAGTGGTGCCCTAACTCTTGCTCCTTGGCAGTCAGGTCTGACAATTGTCTTGGACTCAGTCTATGTGGCTAGGTCAACGACAGAACCCTGCAGACTTAACAAAACAATCTTACCGCCGGCAAGGGCTGAACCAGGAAAAGAGCTCTAGCAGGTTAAGATGCTAATCCCTGCACCACCGCTGTTGTACAAATATGTAGATAATAAAACAAATGCCAAGCCATTGAGTGCGTGGAGGTGGGTCTTTCATACATATCAACCAGGACCTGGTCAGACAGACAGGTGGAACATGGACCTGGTCAGACAGACAGGTGGAACATGGACCTGGTCAGACAGACAGGTGGAACATGGACCTGGTCAGACAGACAGGTGGAACATGGACCTGGTCAGACAGACAGGTGAAACATGGATCTGGTCAGACACACAGGTGAAACATGGAACGTTCATATACCTGTAACCAGGTGCCGATGTCTCCGGTATGTAACCAGCCATCACTATCTAGAGCCTCAGCTGTCTTCTCGGGTTCCAGATAATATTCCTTCATAATATAATCTGATTTGATACAAATCTGGAAAGTATATCATCAAAGAAATGTAAGCAACCAATTCTTAAAAATAAAAAACAATAAAGATACAAACATTTATTGCCTGGCCTATTTTGCCGTATTCCGCCAGGTGAATTAAAACAGTAACAAATTGTTTTTAAAAAAATCAAACAAGCAAAGTACCACTTTTAACTGAAATACAAAATCATCCACAGATAAAAGTATTGCCATTTTTACCAGTGCACAAGGCATGTTCACCACCATGTTTTTTTGTCTGCACAAATCAGTCTAGCGTAAAAGCCCTCCAAACGCAGCAGCAAATTCTTGGAAATATACCAGAGAGAAAAACAATTTTAATAAGCTAATGTTGTACATAACTGTTATTAGAAGTCGTGGTAACATAGTAGCTAGCGGTTTCGCCTGCAAACGGAGCTGTTCGGGTATGAATCCCGAACACCAAGTTGCCGGAAAGGCTAACCCAAATAACAAATGCCAGAACAAGTCGCATGTGTCGATGTGTCGACCGAAAGGCGCAAATATTGCAGCTATATTGCAAACAGGCACAACGCAGTTATCACTCAGATAAACAAAGAAGAAGAGAGGGAAAAGAAGAAGAAGAAGAAGAAGAAGAAGAAGAAGAAGAAGAAGAAGAAGAAGAAGAAGAAGAAGAAGAAGAAGAAGAAGAAGAAGAAGAAGAACAACAACAACAACAACAACAACAACAAAAACACTAAGTTGTGGCAGCTGTTTTTCGTATAACTAAAAGTATATAAACAGCATAAGTAAACTTCATGTCTAGAAGAGTGAGAATTAAAAATGCATGTTTTCTTAGAGATATTTACTTCATAAACTAAAATTAACTAGGATAATCAACCCTATAGGAAAGATGTAATAAATCTAATATTTAGGACATAATCACAATCCATAAAGTGTCAAAAGGACAATATTTCCAGAAAAAAATTGCATAAATGTGATTATATGACATACAATAAACAAAAGAAAATGCTATGAAAAATATCCAAAAATTTATACCTAAATTCTAACACTGAGAGTGGAAGCAGATATTTAGGGTATGAAAATGACTACTACTGCTAATAACCCTTCCGTCCTTTTTAGGATGAAATTTTTTGTTATTTGAAGCCCCACCCTGGCTTTTGCCAGGGGCCTCAATATAGGCAGTCATAAATATGGCCAATTGTCTGAACGCGGTTTCTGGGACATTTCCACGGTGATCCTCATCCACATGGTGGCACTTTGTGTCACCGGGTGTTTATCGCTAGTGTTATGTCCTGGTGGGGTAGATAGTCAGTCAGTCATGACTACTACTCAATATAAATGGTTGGGATCAATTCATGCGTGTCAGTATTATGATGTCTGTAGGACTTGCAGATAGCGTGAAGTGATATGATCACCTCATCTCATATCTGTATCAATATTACAAGTCAAATTGTATCGCTTCACCGCCCATCGAAAGTAAATCGTTAAGCTAGGTTGACCACACTATCATGAGATGAAAACGTGATATGCCACTCATACGTTAAGCTGAAAATTATGACATCCCAAGCAAGTCAGTTTAACAACGTCCCATTTTCTCTAGGTCACCGGGATGAAAGGTTTCAATACTTGCTCGTCTTGCTGCTTTTAAAATCCGAACCATTGTCGCCTAGAAATACAAATTTGCTCTTTCACTTCACTGGGGGGAGGGGGGGGGGGAAAACGTTACACTAGAAATTCTCATTCAACACATTTCTGGTATTAGAAGTATCTAAAACTATTAAATCTAATCAGGTCTTCAGATATAAGTGCATGTTCTATTCTCCAGCTAATCCCTAGATTGTTGTCGAATGGAGCAATGAACAACACCGACGGGACAGCCGGCTAACGGGACATATGGTCACCAAACTGAAGTGGAAGATAAATGCCAATAGCAAGGACAGTTGAACTCTGACCTCGCCGAAGTTGTCCTTGGCGTAGTAATTCATGTCCGGGACGTCAACAAGCTTGATGTGGCAGCCGGGCAGCGGAGGTCCCACGTGACCTGTAGGAGCAACAGGGGTCATAGGTCACTCTTTGAATGTCATGAGTATCATAGTTACCTAGGCTAGGGTCATTAAGATCAGTACTAGTGTATCAATAATTACTAGAAGGTGTTCAGTACTAGTGTATCAATAATCACCTAGGCTGCGGTCAGTACTAGTGTTTCAATAATCACCTAGGCTGTGGTCAGTACTAGTGTATCAATAATTACCTAGGCTGTGGTCAGTACTAGTGTATCATTACTTACTGGGCTGTGGTCAGTATTAGTGTATCAATAATTACCTAGGCTGTGGTCAGTACTAGTGTATCATTACTTACTAGGCTGTGGTCAGTATTATTGTATCAATAATCACGTAGGCTGTGGTCAGTATTAGTGTATCAATAATCACCTAGGCTGTGGTCAGTACTAGTGTATCATTACTTACTAGGCTGTGGTCAGTATTATTGTATCAATAATCACGTAGGCTGTGGTCAGTATTAGTGTATCAATAATCACCTAGGCTGTGGTCAGTACTAGTGTATCAATAATCACCTAGGCTGTGGTCAGTACTAGTGTATCATTACTTACTAGGCTGTGGTCAGTATTAGCGTATCATTACTTACTAGGCTGTGGTCAGTATTAGTGTATCATTACTTACTAGGCTGTGGTCAGTATTAGTGTATCAATACTTACTAGGCTGTGGTCAGTATTAGTGTATCACTACTTACTAGGCTGTGGTCAGTATTAGTGTATCAATACTTACTAGGCTGTGGTCAGTATTAGTGTATCATTACTTACTAGTGCTGTGGTCAGTATTAGTTTATCATTACTTACTAGGCTGTGGTCAGTATTAGTGTATCATTACTTACTAGGCTGTGGTCAGTATTAGTGTATCATTACTTACTAGGCTGTGGTCAGTATTAGTGTATCATTACTTACTAGGCTGTGGTCAGTATTAGTGTATCATTACTTACTAGGCTGTGGTCAGTATTAGTGTATATCAATACTTACTAGGCTGTGGTCAGTATTAGTGTATCAATACTTACTAGGCTGTGGTCAGTATTAGTGTATCATTACTTACTAGGCTGTGGTCAGTATTAGTGTATCATTACTTACTAGGCTGTGGTCAGTATTAGTGTATCAATACTTACTAGGCTGTGGTCAGTATTAGTGTATCAATACTTACTAGGCTGTGGTCAGTATTAGTGTATCATTACTTACTAGGCTGTAGTCAGTATTAGTGTATCATTACTTACTAGGCTGTGGTCAGTATTAGTGTATCATTACTTACTAGGCTGTGGTCAGTATTAGTGTATCAATACTTACTAGGCTGTGGTCAGTATTAGTGTATCACTACTTACTAGGCTGTGGTCAGTATTAGTGTATCAATACTTACTAGGCTGTGGTCAGTATTAGTGTATCATTACTTACTAGGCTGTGGTCAGTATTAGTGTATCATTACTTACTAGGCTGTGGTCAGTATTAGTGTATCAATACTTACTAGGCTGTGGTCAGTATTAGTGTATCAATACTTACTAGGCTGTGGTCAGTATTAGTGTATCAATACTTACTAGGCTGTGGTCAGTATTAGTGTATCATTACTTACTAGGCTGTGGTCAGTATTAGTGTATCATTACTTACTAGGCTGTGGTCAGTATTAGTGTATCATTACTTACTAGGCTGTGGTTCGTATTAGAGTATCAATACTTACTAGGCTGTGGTCAGTATTAGTGTATCAATACTTACTAGGCTGTGGTCAGTACTAATGTAATAATACTTACTAGGCTGTGGTCAGTATTAGTGTATCATTACTTACTAGGCTGTGGTCAGTATTAATGTATCATTACTTACTAGGCTGTGGTCAGTATTAGTGTATCAATTCTTACTAGGCTGTGGTCAGTATTAATGTATCATTACTTACTAGGCTGTGGTCAGTATTAATGTATCAATACTTACTAGGATGTGGTCAGTTTTAGTGTATCAATACTCGCCTAGGCTGTGGTCAGTATTAGTGTATCACTACTCACCTAGGCTGGCGTCATGGGGGTCAGTACCTGTGTATCACTACTCATCTAGGCTGACGTCATGGGGGTCAGTATTAGTGTATCACTACTCACCTAGGCTGTGGTCAGTACCAGTGTATCACTACTCACCTAGGCTGGGGTCTCCAGGTATTGTCAGGGAAGCTCCAGCACCAGACTCGGTCTGGCCATAGCCTTCTAGAACCTGAAACACACGGACAGTCTGTGAAAAAACATCCCATGGAACCCCTACTTTCACTGCATAAATAACAGGTGAATTCATTTTTTCCATATCTGCTCTTATTTGAATGTTGAAAAAAAAAAGAAAAGAAAGAATCGACATCATAGCACTAAGGACACTCCCAAGAGCGCTCCATCCTCATCTTCAGCAGCAAGCGAAAAGATCCAATTCCGATGGCACTAGTAACTTTCTGACTGTATACCAGTCTCGCCTTTCCCTTGAATGTTGAACGTCAGCCAGATCCCCTGGTCACACCAAGCAACCTTAGTTGTTGTGTATTGAATAGTCGAGATAAATCTGTACCCCCTTTCTACACCCCACCCCCCCCCCCCCCACCCCCCACCTGTGGTTCGCGACATTCAATTACCACATTCAGTTCTTTCTTCTTGTACTGTGGAATTTGGGGTGTCTAAATAGCATGGTAAGACATTTTGCTCGAACAGTGGGCGGCTGCAATATTGAGTCTTGTGTCCCAACGTAGTAATTACCTAACTAGTACAGCCTTGAGTCTTGTGTCCTGAGGTAGTAATTACCTCACTAGTACAGCCTTGAGTCTTGTGTCCTGAGGTAGTAATTACATAACTAGTACAGCCTTGAGTCTTGTGTCCCAACGTAGTAATTACCTAACTAGTACAGCCTTGAGTCTTGTGTCCTGAGGTAGTAATTACATAACTAGTACAGCCTTGAGTCTTGTGTCCTGAGGTAGTAATTACCTAACTAGTACAGCCTTGAGTCTTGTGTCCTGAGGTAGTAATTACCTAACTAGTATAGCCTTGAGTCTTGTGTCCTGAGGTAGTAATTACCTAACTAGTACAGCCTTGAGTCTTGTGTCCTGAGGTAGTTATTACCTAACTAGTACAGCCTTGAGTCTTGTGTCCTTAGGTAGTAATTACCTAACTAGTACAGCCTTGAGTCTTGTGTCCTAAGGTAGTAATTACACAACTAGTACAGCCTTGAGTCTTGTGTCCTGACGTAGTAATTACCTAACTATTACAGCCTTGAAACTTGTGTCCTGAGGTAGTAATTACCTAACTAGTACAGCCTTGAAACTTGTGTCCTGAGGTAGTAATTACCTCACTAGTACAGCCTTGAAACTTGTGTCCTGAGGTAGTAATTACCTAACTAGTACAGCCTTGAGTCTTGTGTCCTGAGGTAGTAATTACCTAACTAGTACAGCCTTGAGTCTTGTGTCCCAAGGTAGTAATTACCTAACTAGTACAGCCTTGAGTCTTGTGTCCTGAGGTAGCACTTAAACACTTCATAGAAAAGAACATCGAATATGATCAGAACTTATTTGTAGACCAGGAGAAAGCTTTCGACAGTATGACAGACACAAATTATGGAAAAAAAATTACTATATGGCTCGATATAGAGTAGGTGAGCACCTCATTGAAGTGCGAAAAAGCGTATATAGCGATTGTAGAAGCGTAGTTAGAATAAATCAGGGAACATCTAAGCCATTCAAATTAACGTCTGGAGTAAAACAGGAATGTGTCCTATCACCACTCCTGTTTATCACCTACATTGACAGTATAAGCACGGATGAATAATAGAAACATTAAAGAATTATTCTTTGCTGATGACCAGGCCTTGACTGCAGATACAGCAGTGAATTTACAACAGCATCTCACTGTGAATGAAGAATGTAAATCAAATAATATGAGAATCAACATTAAAAAGACACAAATAATGTCAATAGGAAGAAAGAGGCAGGATTCAATCATAGAATTAGAGCAAACATACATTAGACAGACTTTTGAATTTAAATATCTTGGAACAACATTCACTGAAAATGGTAAACTGGATGAAGAAATCGACATCCGATGCAGTAAAGCTGGTCAAGTATTGTGATAGCTAGTTGCCTTCTTACAGCATAAGGCAATCCCAATCAGCACACAGAAACATCTCATACAAAGCATATTCATTCCCACCCTATGCTACCAGTGCCAGACATGGTCACTCATACACACACAAAAAAGCTTAAAATAAAATTTGTAACCATGGAAATGAGGTGTTTGACAAAGACTGTAAGAGTAACCAGAAGAGATGAAATCAGGAATGCGGTCATATGAGATAAAGTCGGCACAGAACCAATTCTAAATTACATATAAAGACAGCAAATCTAATTATTTGCCCACTTAGAGAGAATGCCTTATGATGCTATACCATACAAGGCATACACCAAAAGAGGAGAGGTGCGTAGAGCAAAATGTAGACCAAAAACAAGAGGGGAAGATAACATCAGAGAAACTCTACAGCACCACGATGTGTCTATGTAAGAACTTTCAGTAATATGTGTGTCCAAAATCTTACAAATAGTTCAGAGACAGAATAAACAAATTTGCAGGACATCGGGATATCATGCAAAGATATAAACCCGAACGAAAGGTAGATCAACGAGCTTCACAATATAACAAACACATATGAAACGAGAACGTTGCGGCTACAGAGCGTTCATCGGCAAATACATAAATCAAACAAAACTACACGAATATTTCAAAACAAAATTCACTTAACTGACGTTTTCCGAAGCAGCCACGTTGATGTCTGGTCAGTGGAATGAAGAGACGCGTATAGCTCCAGAATAAATAGCCAGGGAGTGCCAAAGGCAGTAACTTGTGAAATAGATACACTTTGTTGACAGTTTAGACTCATAAGGGTTTGGGTCCCCAAGGTGAAAATAAAGCGACTCTCAAAAGACTTGCGAACTGTGGCTAGGGTGGCTAGATTTAATGGCTGTCACATCTGTGTTGTGGACACTTGGTGATCGTGAGAACTGAAGTGCAGCGGTACTGGATTCAGGGCACGATTCTGCACTTCCAAAAGATGTTGTGTGAGCCTGTCAGCCAGTTTCGCTGATGTCTTTCTCACCACATCTCTTGCAGATGATGGCGTAAATGACATAGCGGCACGTATAGTAGAATGTTCACGTATGTAGGAGGTGGCTTTAGGGATACTCACGAGCCTGTGTTGACAGTGGTGGAAAGTCACAAGCTATTTTGGTTCCGACATACGGTGAGACATGATTCCATTGCACAAACCAGACTTCAAGGGGGACAAGAAAAAGAGAGACACACACACACACACACACACACACACAAAAGTCACTAGTTCATGTTGTCACTAGTTCGGGTTGTCAAGAGTTCAGGTTGTTACTAGTTCAGGTTGTCACTAGTTCAGGTTGTCACTAGTTCATTTTGTCAGTAGTTCTGGTTGTCACTAGTTAATTTGCCACTAGTTCAGGTTGTCACTAGTTTAGTTGTCACTAATTCAGGTTGTCACTAGTTCTGGTTGTCACTAGTTCATGTTGTCACTAGTTAAGTTTGTAACTAGTTAAGGTTGTCACTAGTTCTGGTTGTCACTAGTTAAGTTGTCACTAGTTCAGGTTGTCACTAGTTTAGTTGTCACTAGTTCAGGTTGTCACTAGTTTTGGTTGTCACTAGTTCAGGTTGTCACTATTTCTGGTTGTCACTAGTTCAGGTTGTCACTAGTTCTGGTTGTCACTAGTTCAGGTTGTCACTAGCTCAGGTTGTCACTAGTTTAGGTTGTCACTAGTTCAGGTTGTGACTAGCTCAGGTTGTCACTAGTTAAGATTGTCACTAATTCAGGTTCTCACTAGTTTAGGTTGTCAATCACTAGTTCAGGTTTTCAGTCCCAAATTCAGGTTGTCACTAGTTTAGGTTACCACAAATTCAGGTTGTCACTAGTTTAAGCTGTCACTAGTTTAAGCTGTCACTAGTTCAGGTTGTCACTAGTTCAGGTTGTAAATAGTTCAGGCTGTCACTAGTTCAGGATGTCAATAGTTCAGGATGTCAATAGTTCAGCACAGGAGAACACTTACCACACAGCCCAGGGAACATCTCAGGAAGTTCATGACATCCGGCAGAAGAGGGGCGGAACCAGTTATCACAATACGGACACGCCCACCGAGTTTATTTTGGATTTTGTTGAAGAGGATCTTGTCCCAGATGCTGTCTCTTCTGTAGATACGTCTGCAACAGTGAGGTAGGCGGGGCTTATATTATAGCTTCGGTCTCATAAATGTCGACTATTGGCTGCTTGTTCTGATGATGTATGTATGCATGTTTACGTGTTCGGCTTGACTAGGTTTAAATGCATGCATTTACCATCCATGTTTGTGTGTATGTGTTTGTGTGTATCTACTTTATTCTCAGGGTGAATATGGTTACATGAACACAATTTGCTTTGAAGATGAAAAAACGATTGCAGTTTGAACGACGAGTGTTTGGAAAGAATTAATGTAAGCGGACCAGCAGGTCAAATTTGTAATCCTTTCGTTCGTTCGCTCATTAGTTCGTTCGTTCATTCGTTCGTTCGTTCGATGTACTGTCCTAGTCATACTCTTCACCTGACATTATCTTTAGAGTGGATCGCGCCCGATGGTGAGCTTAAAGTATAAAGTTGTTTCGCTAGTTCGATGTATGGTTACGAGAAGAGAAAATGTTACTGTTACTTATGTGTGTTTGGTGATCTCGTCAGAATGCGCCCGACACCTACCAGCACAGGTGCTACACCTGGGAAGATCTTGTGTGAAAGCAAGAAGGAGCCAAGGAGAAAACAGAATAATGAAACTAAAGGCTTTATACATCCACAGATTTGGCGTTGTCGATCTTCTTTTCATTTACGTTTACCGGCTGTAAACTCCGGTGGAAATTTGTTATTGTTCCACAATCTGACTGTTGCGTGCTCATCCGTTTTAAAATCCGACTTATTTGTATGCAGGCAGATGCACTCTAGTTGTGTCGGAAAATGCCCTCCAACTGTGAAGGAAAATGCACTCCAACTGTGAAGGCAGATCCACCCCAACTGTGAAGGGAGATACACTCCAACTGTGAAGGGAGATACACTTCAACTGTGAAGGGAGATACACCCCAACTGTGAAGGGAGTTCCCCGTTAGTCAACATTTACTTTATGCTTTGTGGGTTGGCAGTGGGGCCCCGGGACCCACACGGGGAGTTGTTGTCGATAATAACTGTGATGATGATGACGATGATGATGAAGACGACGACAATGATGATGAAGGTAGAAGACCAATGATTCCAGACATGTAGTCAATGAATGTGCCCTGATCTATTGTTACACGATTAGAACATTATTCTGTGGAAGTTATGTAATCATTTCCTCCTAGCTCCCAGCTGATATCGCTGATCTCTGATGTTTTGATTTCACGGCTTGTGTCAATCTGTCAGGTGACAAGTCAGTCTCTAATTACGCTCGAGTACAATCGCGCCACAATTAAATATTACACATTAAACAGGGACATTAGTCGATCTAATAATTATGTACTGGAGTCTTTCTTCTGGTATTTTTAGTAACCTAAAGTAGGAGTAAGTAAAGATCCGTTTTCACGCCTTCATGCGCATCGGGCATACGGGAAGAGCACCCATATTTTTACAGACCAATCGGTACTAGGTGGGAATTGGGGTCAGCAATACGCCGGCCGTCTTTACTTCCCCAGGCCATACATCCCGATACCCATTTTAGGCTAGGTCGGCCTGCGACGCCCCATACCATGATAAAAATCCACGCAGCCAGCAGTGGGTCTGATGGTCTGTAAAAATATGGGACGCTCTGCCCATATGCCCGATGCGCCGAAAGGCGTGAAAAGGGAACTTTACTTTACTTACTTACGTTGGAATTACGAGTAGGATATAACGCCTAAGCAACGGACGGAATTTTAAATAACCTGTGCAACAATTGGGCGAAATCTCTAAACTGGATCCCAGTGAGGATTGTGGACACTTAAAGGCGGCTAGTGTTTATGTGTACTGCACTTCTCCATTGCCCAACTTTATACAATTATGTGGTTAGCACCATCTACACGTTCGATCCCAGCTGCGGGTCTTGCGCCTTGAGTTGATTTCGATAGTGGTATCCAGAGCTCTACTGTTCGGAAAGCAATGGCAAACTACTGGACGTAAATTTGCCTAGACAAACCATATTAGCCACACAAAACTTGCTGGGGTTGGTTTTGCAATGTCTTGTAAAGCATATATGCAAGTAACATTCTAACCATGTACCCGGCAAACGTTATAAAGTGAATTAAAAAAAAAGAGCCTTGACTACCTACTAAAGGACAAGTCCCCACTGTTCTCATCCCACACTTGTATGTTTTTGTACGTTCCCTAGGACAAAGGTCAGTCTTCTTCTTCTTCGCGCTCACCAGCTCTAAACTCTGGCAGAAATTTCAGATTGTTCCTCCACTTCTGGACTGCCGTCCCGTTCCAGAACCTGAGTATTTGCGTGCATATCCGTTTTACCTATCTGACTCATTTATATCCAGACTGCTGGTTCCTTGACTCTCAGACAGATGCACTGCGACTTTGTAAGAAGCTTTCAATTATTCGACTCTTACGACATGCTTTTAGTAGCCAGTGAGTCTATTCTTTTTCCCCTATAACAGGGCCCGAACCCCAGAACCCCAGACGGTAAACAACGGTCAATATTTTGCCTAACAAGAAGGATACAAGAAATAACCTTCAGCAAATGATAGAAGTGTGTACGTCACGCTGTTCTGTGTACATCAGGCTGTTCTGTGTACATCAGGCTGTTCTGTGTATAATGTTTCTTGTGTACACATGATTGTTCTGGGTACAGCAGAGTCTCGTATGTTCATCAGGCCAGTCTTCACACAGCAAGACGTTCTCGTGCACAGACTGTCTCAGTCATTCTACCCTAGACAAACACTGTACTCCCGAGCACCAGTGGTTGGCGCTTTTACAAAACCACTAGACCATACAAACACAAGACAAGTACCTGTTTACATCTTTCTGCTTGCTGGCTAGTGCCCATCTTAGAATGGCAGATTTAATTATGGAATGTTTCACTTCCGTGTGTACCTAAAAAAAATTAAACCATTTAAAAAAGTACCTGGCTGAGTATTTGCATGTATTACTGTTACATTGCATGCGTATACTGTTACATTGTATGTAAATACTGTTACATTATATGTGTATACTGTTACTTTGTATGTATATACTGTTACATTGCATGTATTTACGGCTACATTATATATATATATATATATATATATATATATATATATATATATATATATATATATATATATATATACACACATACATACATACATACATACATACATACATACATACATACATACATACATACATACATACATACATACATACATACATACATACATATACATACATACATACATACATACATACATACATACATACATACATACATACATACATACATACATACATACATACATACATACATACATACATACATACATACATACATACATACATACATACATATATACATATATATATATATATATATATATATATATATATATATATATATATATATATATATATATATATATATATATATATATATATATATATATATATATATATATATATATATATATATATACATATATATATATATATACTGTTATATGACATGTATATTCTGTCACACTGTACATAAATACGGTTACACTGTATTCATATACTGTTATATTGTTTCTCCTGGATCGTCTCAGCGTGTCTGTGTCTGCCACCCCCTCCCCCCTTTTCTTCCCCCCCCCCCCTCCCCTCTTTTTCTAGACGGTAAAGGTCACTTTGAGAACATGCAAATTCACTGTTGCAAGTTTTGTGCCTTGAAGTTCATGTTGGTATTGGCCAGCAGCATCAGTTATCAGATAAAACTTACAACTGTTCCGTCAGTGAGGAGTAGATGAAGTCACACTTCATCAGTTGACTTCATTGACTTACAGCGTCATATATCCTGTTGAGTAGCCGAGGCACTGTGACGAAGAGAGTGGGTCGGAGTGTGGCCAGGTCATCTGTCAGCAGCTTGATGTCGCGACTGAAGTATCCGATTCGACCTCCCGCTAAGAGCATCATCACCTGGAGAGTTATGTGTGTCAATGTTAAACACTGCTTCAAACTGTCTGGACTATCTGCATGTCTCTAAATGCCTCTATAATGGCTACACACATGCCTGTCTAACTGCCTGCCCGCCTGTCTACCCGTAAACTCCTGTTTACCTGCGTGGCCATCCGGCTGTCTACCTTTTGTCTACCCACCTGTTTAACTTTCAGTCTAATTTCCTGTCTGCCTAGCTCTCTACCTACAAGCCTGTCTACCTGCCTGCCCATCTGCCTGTATGTCTACCTGTCTGTTTACCTGCCTTGCTACACGGCTGTCTACCCGCCTGTCTAGCTTTCTGTCTAATTACTTGTCTGCCTACTTACCTACCTGTCTACATACTTGCCTGTCTACCTGCCTGCCTGTCACCCCGCCTGCCTGTCTATCTACCTACCTGCTTGTCTACCTATCTGCCTGTATATCTACCTGCCTATATACCTGCTTGCACTCTTGCCTACTAACGTTACCTTATTTTTTTTTTTTTTAAAGCAGAAAACAATGTCTTGTAAACCCTCTTGGCTCGGTACTATGGATATCGCAACCCTTCGGCCTTGATTCCTTGATAGATACCGTAAATCTGGGAGAAATGTGGCTTTTCTTACTACACCTTGGCGTGAACCAAGACCACAATCAGTTCGTCACCCGGTGGCCGCGCAATCGGGTTTAACCATCTGAGCAAGCTAGCCGGGCAACTTTACCTTCCAACTCCTTATATTCATGCTTACATCATTAGTTACCTCTATGGCTGCTTTAACACCTACACACATAGACACCTACACACCCAGACACCTACACACCTAGACACCTACACACCTACACACCTACACACCTACACACCAACACCTACACACCAACACCTACACACCTAGACAACTACACACCTAGACACCTACACACCTAGACACCAACACCTACACACCTAGACACCTACACACGTAGACACCTACGCAACTACACACCTAGACAGCTACACACCAAGACACCAACACCTACACACCTACACACCTAGACACCTACACACCAAACCCTACACACCTAGACACCTACACACCTAGACACCTACACACCAACACCTACACACCTAGACACCTACACACCTAGACACCTACACACCTAGACACCTACACACCTAGACCCCTACACACCCAGACACCTACACACGTAGACACCTACACACCTAGACACCTACACACACACAGACACCTACACACCTAGACATATACACCTACACACCTACACACCTAGACACCTATGCCTACACACCCAGACACCTACACACCTAGACACCTACATACCTACACCTACACACCTAGACACCTACACACGTAGACATATACTTACCTGCCTACCTGCCTACATTTATCATTAACTATCGGCTGCCTGCCCACCTATCTATCTACACGTGAACCAACGAGCCTGCAGGTCAACTACCTTTTCATAATTATTATTGCAATTTTGAAGAAAAAAATCATGAGTTTTAGTTTTCTTCTTCTTCTTCTTCTTCTTCTTCTTCTTCTTCTTCTTCTTCTTCTTCTTCTTCTTCTTCTTCTTCTTCTTCTTCTTCTTCTTCTTCTTCTTCTTCTCCTCCTCCTCCTCCTCCTCCTCCTCCTCCTCCTCCTTCATCTCGTTACAGCTCGTGTTGTGAGTAGTTTGTCACCCTTCCTGTGTACGTGTACATTAAGATTTGCTTATATCTTTACAGTCAACTGCAGTCAAAGATCGGTGACAGAACATAGTTTCGTGGATGTGTACAGAACATACTTACGTAGAAATGGACAGAACATACTTACGTGGACGTGGATAGAACATACTTACATGGACGTGGACAGAACATACTTACATGGACGTGGACAGAACATACTTACGTGGGCAGAACATACTTACGTGGACGTGGACAGAACATATTTACGTGGACGTGGACAGAACATACTTACGTGGACGTAGACAGAACATACTTACATGGACGTGGACAGAACATACTCACATGGACGTGGACAGAACATACTTACATGGACGTGTACAGAACATACTTACATGGACGTGGACAGAACATACTTACATGGACGTGTACAGAACATACTTACATGGACGTGGACAGAACATACTTACATGGACGTGTACAGAACAGACTTACATGGACGTGGACAGAACATACTTATATGGACGTGGACAGAACATACTTACATGAACGTGGACAGAACATACTGACATGGACGTGGACAGAACATACTGACATGGACGTGTACAGAACATACTGACATGGACGTGTACAGAACATACTTACATGGACGTTGACAGAACATACTCACATGGACGTGTACAGAACATACTTACATGGACGTGGACAGAACATACTTACATGGACGTGGACAGAACATACATGGACGTGGACAGAACATCTTACATGGACGGCTCTGTCGAAGTTGTGTGCCAGCGGTAAGTAAGAGAGGTACACGTCGTCACAGGTTGGCACAAAGTTGGTCTGGGGAAGAGACAGTGGCAGTTAATCAGGCAAGACATACTGTTGTAGTGCCAGGAAATACAATAGCCTTATCTCTCCTAATTACATAGTCTTAGTGGCACTTTTAAACTTACGTCATCAAATTCACTCCACGATTAACTGGAGAGGTTCTGGCTGACAATGAAAACAAAGGTGGGAACAGAAATTTTAAGAAAAGATATAGCTCACACATTTTGACTCATATTAGGAAAAAGACAAACATCATCCTTGAAGGAGACGTTGAATGCAAGGTGAAAACTAAAAAAAAAAAAAAAATAAAGAGGTAGAATCGAGACAAGTGGCAGAATCGACACAAGTCGCAAAATCGATACGTAGCAGAATCGACACAAGTGGCATAATCGATACCAGTAGCAGAACAATGTCAAAGGACAGAGGGAAATCCTTCTGAGAGGGTGTATAACCAGTACGACAAACGTGTTGGAGATCCATTGCAGCAAGCCTTCACTATGAAGATGGAGACTGTCGAATGCGTTCTTAGAGGGTAGCACATCCTACAAAGTATCCAGGGTGCATGATTTGCTCCAGTCGCACACATGAGCTCCCTCGGACCAGACAAAAACGACTATTGAGTTCCTACAGGAAAGCCAACGACAACAGAAGCACCACTATATAGCGAGCACAAGTAGCACGTTAACAACCACAATATATCTAGCACAGGTTACTACCTATTGTAATCAAGAACAATTTCTAAGAACGCTGTAATACAATTAACCAAACCAAGTGTGATCTTATAGTGCGATCGGCCTCTTTATTATGGACGAACACATAGTGACGATGATGAACTAACTGGTCATCAATGACTCGCTGTCAGTCCACTTACTTTCTGTCAAACACGCTCACATTTGCAGTCTCGAGAACATGGACAAAACACTCTTACGAACTATGAACAGGTGACTACGAGCGACTCAGACCGGATCGCTCAGATACACCTATCTGATATGCAGTGACAGACCTCTAACAGTTCTCCGTCCAAGGGACACAGCGGCCTGAGGGTCCAAGGTAGATGCACTACTCGATGAAAAGAATCCAGACCTCCAGTCTGCTACCCAGTCACTCAAAGTATCACTGATCAACCTTCAGTTAACCACATCAACTAGTAGAAGAGACTAAGCCCTCCGCCGACAAGCATTCCCGAAACCTACCTATCCCAATTCCACACTGGTCAACACAAAAAGTTACCACAGCAGTACCTTCTGTAGTACTTTAAGACACCTTGTCAACCAGTGTGTCCCATAGTCGCAACTCTGCCGACCTCAACACACATGGTTGACAAAATAGCCCATTCTCGAAAATAACACATAGCATTTCGAAGTAAAATCTATGATTCATCACACTCATTAGCAAGTTCACCTGCGATCCAACAGAATAAAACATAATGCTAAAACTGTCACTCAATAAGTCCATGCGTCTAAGGGACATGAACAAACGTCCAAACACTTATACTGACTGAAAGCGACTGACTCAGACTACCACAGGACACCCCACAATATCCATGATGGACCATGGTGACATATGCGCAAGCTCGTCTGAACTTCAAGCGAGCGGCACATGTTTCCACAACTTCCGGTGGCTTACTGTCCACTCTCACTCTGTCAACCAAATCGCCACTAATAATGCCCACACATGCCCCACCAACGCCAGCTTGCATCTCAAAATGACTTTAGCACATAACAGAGACGGCATCTAATTAGTTGGTGGAGTATCCCCATTACAATTATCACAGTTGTCGTGTGTCTTGAAGGTATATTTTTTCCATCAAAGAATGAGTTATACATAATCATTGTTCAATATCATTTGTTTGATCATTATTAAGAACATGTACTCGATGTTTTCTGTCGCTTATTTCCTCCCCCCCCCCTCTCCCCACCCCGTTCTTCTTCTTCTTTTTCTTTCTCCTTCTTCTTCTTATTATTATTATTAATATTATTATTATTATTATTATTATTATTATTATTATTATTATTATTATTCTGTCTCCACTTTTCTTCATCGCACATCTGAATATATTTTTTTAATCTACCGACAGGCCGGGGGAGAGGGGGGGGGGGGGGTTTGGGGAGGGGTGAGGGAACCAACATCAATGTGACCAACATCAAAGTCAAATGACAGATAAGACATCATTTGATCACTTAGCATTGGCGTTGACAAGGAGACCGAATAAATGCAAAATGTATGACACTGAGCCAACAGAAACATCCGAAAGATGTAGGCAGACTACAAAGGTAGCGTCACGTGATGAGACCGATTGAAACGCAATAGATATAGACTGCTCCATGTATTTACATAAGTTATGTCCGCACATTGTCTACTGTATGTTTGATGAACACACACAAGGCCTAGCACAGACTTTTCCCTGTAGACAATGTCTTACCTGAACTCCGAGCATAATACTTTGTACCATAGACACAAAAGCATAGTGGGTCAGTACGACGCCTTTTGGGTTTCCTTGAAGAGATTGGAGAAAGGAAACCGATTCAGAATATAATACAGCATGTATCTGGCTTGTGCAACTAAGCACGCTGCATAATTCGTCTGTCCATATACATCTGCCTTCGGTCTGGAAGACAGACTCGGTAGTCTATATTTAGTCATCGTCTGTCTATATTTATTGCTACTGACTTTGTCAGTCTGTCAGGTCTCCGTACTTGTCATCTGATCTGGTCATAACATCTGCCCCTTGGGTTCTGCTTTCTGACCTGACATAATTAGTGGACAATTAAGATGGTCATCACAGGACTGTGCAAACAAAAAGATCACATAGTTAATCTAATCGGCTACCATGGCAGGCATGGGAGGCTAAGAACCAGGGAACCAGACCTCCAGGACGACCCAGGGTGCGCTGGGAAGACAACATCCGACAGTCCCTAACTGACAGGGGACTGGAATGGAACAAAGCCAGAAAGAAAACTGCTGATAGAGACGTCTGGCAATCTCTCTGGAAAACCTCTACACCTAAAGGTAGAAGAGGAGCGACTAAGTAAGTAAGTAAGTTAATCTAAAGCTTCTGCGTAAGTGAGTGAGTGAGTGACGTTCAACCCAGCAGGATCGCATAAGGAGCTATATTAACACTCAGTAACATAAAGTGCCATCATTCGGATGAGAATCTCGTGGCACAAGCCGCAGAAACTTCATTCAACTGTTAGGTTAAATTATAGCCCCGGGTATCAGTTGGGGCGGACCTTTATAAATGTGAGCCATTATTGGCTGGTATTCAAACAGGCTGTAGATGTACAGTTTAACGAGAGTCTATGTAATATATGTGTATCTCAGTAGACAGTGAATATGTTTCTTTGCGGTATTTCGAATATGCTTGACTGACTGACTGACTTTCTACCCCACTAGGACATCACACAAGCGATAAACACCCGATGACACAAAGTGCCACCATGTGGATGAGGAACGCTGTGGAGAAGTCCCAGAAACCGCGTTCAGACAATTGGCCATATTTATGGCCTGCCTATATTGCGGCCCCTGGCAAAAGCCAGAGTGGTGCTTCAAAAAACAAAAAATCTCATTCTTAAAAGGACGAAACTGCATTGAATGCAATAATGCAAACTTATAATCTCGAATATGCTTATCCATAATTTGTGCTACTGCATCTGGTAAGATACAACAAAATGTTGGAGAAAAAACACAATGTGGTTTATGTCTTTAGTCTCCTTATTAAAGATAATTGATTATGCACACTTCTCTGCTTACTTTGTTTGGTGATCCCAACCAAAACACTGAAAGGTATATAAATAAAACTATAAATAGTTCAAGAAGAGACAGCATCAAATGAAACCATTTCCGTACAAAGATTTATTATTTATAGGAAAGATTGAGTCACAGGTTGTCTACCTTTCAACAACAATCCCCCATCATGTCCTCGCAAAACCTGCAGGCAAGTTATCCAAGGCGGTGTAAACAAAGCGATGAGGCCCGATTCAAAAGCAATGACAAGGCAGAAAGTCAAGTTGAGATTAAGAAAGTGGAAGCAAAGAATAAAGGAAAGAAGAAAGAAAGCACGTATGGAAGATGTTAGAAAGTAAGGACTGAATGAAAAAAGTAAACCAAAAAAAAAAAAAAAAAAAAAAAAAAAAATCCTGAGGCAAACTTGTAGATGAGAATAGAAGGAAGTAGTGAATGTAAAAAAAAAAAGGAGTTCATTACAAAAGAAAAGGAATTGCTTATGTTCATGTTCATTCAACGGATCAGCATCATGACACACGGGTGTAACCCATGGGTGCTCAGTTCTACTTCTAATCCAAGCCTGAGTCTGAAGAATTTCAGCGCTGTGTGCGAACTCTGTGCCTTTGCCAAAAAGTGTGTATTCTATAGAAAGCCCACGTGAAAAAAAAGTCTCAGCCTTCACCGAGGCTTGAACCCGGGACCTCCAGCGCTGGGGGCAGACACCATACCCCGAGACCACTAAGCAAACAGAAATGACTTAAGAGGCAAGAGAGGAAAGAAAGACACAAAGGGAAGCAACAACGAAAATCAACAAGATGTTAGCAGCTATCTCTCTTCTTACCTGTTGTTCCACTTGTATAGCAAATGGAAAATATATCGTCCGGTTTGGGAAGCTGGGAGAATATAACATAACTGTAGGCAAGCAACTCTACAGAATATAACATAACTGTAGGCAGGCAACTCTACAGAATATAACATAACTGTAGGCAGGCAACTCTACAGAATATAACATAACTGTATGTGATTATCTGTACAGAATATAACATAACTGTAGGCAAGCAACTCTACAGAATATAACATAGCTGTAGGCAAGCAACTCTACAGAATATAACATAGCTGTATGTGATTATCTGTACAGAATATAACATAACTGTAGGCAAGCAACTCTTCAGAATATAACATAACTGTATGTGATTATATGTACAGAATATAACATAACTGTAGGCAAGCAACTCTACAGAATTTAACATAGCTGTATGTGATTATCTGTACAGAATATAACCTAACTGTAGGCAAGCAACTCTACAGAATATAACATAGCTGTATGTGATTATCTGTACAGAATATAACCTAACTGTAGGCAAGCAACTCTACAGAATTTAACATAGCTATATGTGATTATCTGTACAAAATATAACATAACTGTAGGCAAGCAACTCTACAGAATATAACATAGCTGTAGGCAAGCAACTCTATAGAATATAACATAGCTGTAGGCAAGCAACTCTACAGAATATAACATAGCTGTATGTGATTATCTGTACAAAATATAACATAACTGTAGGCAAGCAACTCTACAGAATATAACATAGCTGTATGTGATTATCTGTACAGAATATAACATAACTGTAGGCAAGCATCTCTACAGAATATAACATAGCTGTATGTGATTATATGTACAGAATATTACATAACTGTAGGCAAGCAACTCTACAGAATATAACATAGCTGTATGTGATTATCTGTACAGAGTATAACATAACTGTAGGCAAGCAACTCTACAGAATATAACATAGCTGTATGTGATTATATGTACAGAATATAACATAACTGTAGGCAAGCAACTCTACAGAATATAACATAGCTGTATGTGATTATCTGTACAGAGTATAACATAACTGTAGGCAAGCAACTCTACAGAATATAACATAGCTATATGTGATTATCTGTACAGAATATAACATAACTGTAGGCAAGCAACTCTACACAGATGTATGCACCATGCAATGATAATTATACAGAAGAGCAGAAAGATTAATTCTTTGACGATCTGTCTGATGAGATAAAGAAAAGTGAGGGAAGCAGCATACTATATGTAATGGGTGACTTCAACGGGAGGGTAGGAAATAACAGAAAAGAATACGAACAGTTTTTAGGTCCATATGCAGCTAAGAAAAGTGCTAGAAATGGAAAAGGTCAAAGAATATTGGATCTATGCAGCCAGCACAATCTTTTTATTACGAACACATTCTTTGACCATAGAGATTCACAACTTTACACTTGGTACAAATGGAATGATGTCTCCATCAAGAGCCAGATTGACTTTATACTTACCAGAGTTCAAGGAAGAAGGAGAATTCTTGATTCAAGAGAAATCCCTAATGGTCTATGTGACACTGTTTAATCCTCTAGGAGATCATCAGGAAAGAACAAATGAAGAGCACAGATCAACAGTGTTAGAACCATACATACTAATGGATGAAATAGAAAAAGTCATTAAGCAGTCTCCCAAATATAAAGCACCAGGAGCTGACAGATTACCAACAGAAATATTTCAAGCAGCAGGTGAAAGCAGCATCAGATGGCTTCACAGAATATTCAATGCAGCATGGGTACAACAAAAGGCCCCTATTGATTGGCAACTTGCAATAGTTATATCATTGTGGAAGAACAAAGGAAGCAAACGAGAATGCGGTCAATACCGAGGCATCTCTCTTTTAAGCCATGTTGGCAAAATGTATGCCAAGATAATAGAAACAAGACTGAGACCAGTGATAGAACCACAGCTGGCAGAAGAACAGATGGGATTTGGGAAAAATAGAAGCTGCACAGATGCAATCTTCACACTTAAACAGTTAATAGAAAAGAACATTGAATACAATAAGAACTTATTTGTGGCATTCGTAGACCAAGAGAAGGCATTTGACAGAGTAGACAGACAATTACTATGGAAAATAATGGCAAGATATGGAGTAAGCGAACACCTCATCGAAGTGTGCAAAAGTTTATACAGGGATTGTAGAAGTGTAGTTAGAATAAATCAGGGAACATCTCATCCTTTCACAGTGACATCTGAAGTAAGACAGGGGTGTGTCTTATCACCACTGCTGTTTATCACCTACATCGACAGTAATTGCAATAATGCCAAGCCCATGAATGAAGATCTTAGTAAGATCAACGAATTACTCTTTGCAGATGACCAGGCCTTGATAGCAGATACAGCCATGAAATTGCAACAACATCTAACATCTATGAATGAAGAATGTAAAACAAATAATATGAGAATCAACACTGAAAAGACAGAAGTAATGTCAATAGGAAAAAAGAAGACAGATCTAAACATAGCAATAGAATACAAAGACATTAAACAGGCATCTGAGTTTAAATATCTGGGAACTACATTTACCGAAGATGGGAAACTGGATGAAGAAATTAACATTAGATGCAGTAAAGCAAACCAAGTATTGGGACACCTAGCCCCCCTCTTACAGAAAAAGACAATCCCAATCAACACAAAAAGACATCTTATTCAAAGCATATTTATATCAACTCTGTGCTACCAGTGCCAGCCATGGTTACTCACAACAAACCATAAAAGAAAATTAGTAACCACGGAAATGAGATGTCCGAGAAGGGCTGTAGGAGTGACCATAAGAGATAAGATCAGGAATGAGATCATAAGAGAACAAGTCGGCACAGAACCAATTCTGGATTACATACAAAGACAGCAAGTGAAATGGTTTGCCCACGTAGAGAGAATGCCTTGTGACACCATACCATACAAAGCATACATGGAAAGAGAAGAAGGACGTAGTGCACGGGGTAGACTAAGAACAAGATGGAAGGATAACATCAGAGAAACTCTACAACAGCACGATGTGCCTATGGTCGAGGCGGCCAGAAGAGCTAGAAACAGAACCTTATATCTCCCTCGACACCCACAGCGGTAAAAGAGGAAGTGAAGAAGAAGAAGAAGAAGAAGAAGAAGAAGAAGAAGAAGAAGAAGAAGAAGAAGAAGAAGAAGAAGAAGAAGAAGAAGAAGAAGAAGAAGAAGAAGAAGAAGAAGAAGAAGCAACTCTACAGAATATAACATATCTGTATGTGATTATCTGTACAGAATATAACTTAACTGTAGGAAAGCAAGTCTACAGAATATAACAAAGATGTATGTGATTATCTGTACAGAATATAACATAACTGTAGGCAAGCATCTCTACAGAATATAACATATCTGTAGGCAAGCAACTCTACAGAATATAACATAACTGTAGGCAAGCAACTCTACAGAATATAACACATCTGTAGGCAAGCAACTCTACAGAATATAACATATCTGTATGTGATTATCTGTACAGAATATAACATAACTGTTTGTGATTATCTGTACAGAATATAACATAACTGTTTGTGATCATCTCTACATAATATAATATAACGGTATATGATCGTTTCCACAGAATATAACATGAATGTATATGATCGCCTCTACAGAATATAACATAATTATATGTGATTGTCTCTACAGAATATAACATATCTGTATGTGATCGTCTCTACAGAATATAACATACCTATATGTGATCCTCTCTACAGAATATAACATAGCTCCTCTTACCTATCGTCCTCCTCCCTCCTTCTGCTTCCTCTTCTTCTTCTTCTTCTTCTTATTATTATTATTATTATTTTCTCCTTCTTCTTCTTCTTCTTCTTCTTCTTCCTCCTCTTCTTCTCCTCCTCTTCTTCTTTTCCACCACCACCCTTCTTTCCATTTTGTGCACTCTCACTGACCAGGAACTCTAACGCACAGACACAACACTGACGTGCTAGGGGAAAATGGCCACAATTCATCTATTATGTTGAAAGTCAACTAGATGTTGATCTTCGTGTCTCTCTACTTACCAGGGGCTCTCGCAGATTGTTCTGTCCATTTTTCTGAGAAGTAAAAAGATAAACAGAATTATATCAACGCGGAGAGAAAATGTGTTGTTTTGCATGCGTTCTACTGGAATTTTGTTTAATTTACCGAACAAATAAACAGAACAGACCAAGTCACCATTGTTCCTAAAGCACTAGACATTGTAGACTCAACAATCACTCAAACAAAAAAGTCATAAACCACACAGCGATCTTTCAGTGTCTTCCAGCTGATCAGATCCCATAACCCGTCTCAGAAGATTGTCTTGTCTTGGAGCAGCTGCCAGGAAACATGTGGACACATCCAGTAGGTCCTGGCAACTAAGCTCTCGGGAAACTCAAGAGCCTTCGAACTGACATTCATTCTTATGGTCGATAGTGGATGAACTGCATGACAAGAGGTAATTGAATAAGAACAAGACGAAGAAGCTATCCTCCAAATAACGGGCACATATTATGGCGGCCGCAAAATACACCCTAACAGGGCCTCAGTCGCGTGTCAATTGCGCACTTCCGGCTTTAATTTGCGGTTTTCCGGCGACTACCGCCACCGCCGAGAGTATCCCACACGCCGCTCACCTCTTATCCTGAGAGGATAAGGAGACCACATACCTCGTTTTAACGTTTGATGGTAGGTTAACATGGAGAAAACACATCAACTAGGCAGCAACCAAAGCCAGAAGGAGAGTAGCCATTCTGAGAAAACTAAGTGGAACCACATGGGGTGCTAGCGGGAAAATACTTAGAAAAGTTTACCAACAAAGTGTTCGACCACATCTTGAATACGGATCAACAGCATGGAGTTTAGCATCAAAAACCACATTGCAAGAATTAGACAAAGTGCAAAATCAAGCACTCAGAGTTACCACAGGCAGTATGAAATCAACACCTATAGCTGCGATGGAGAAAATGGGGATGACCCAAGCACTGAGTGAACGCAGAGATGCTTTTCCAAGCAGAAAAGTTTCTTAGTATGCTCAGTCACCCTATGAATGAAAGATTCCAAAATCTAGCTTTGGGGCGACTAAAGAGAAGTAGTTTCATCCACCAGGCCAAACGGCTCTGCAGACAAACCACTGATTTACCTGCAACTGATAGATCCTTAAATGCTGTCCCAGAACGGACCCCCTGGAGAGAGGAGTATAAGTTTCCAATACACATCAAGACTGAAGTGAAAGGGGTATTTGACAAGGAAGAACAAAACAGTGTGCAGCGCAAAACAGTCACCCTCAGTATACTTGATGATGAATACCAACAGAATCTTTGGGTCCGTGTTTACACAGATGGGTCAGCAGAAAGTGCAGTCAAAAACGGAGGTGCAGGAGTGTGCATTGAGTATCCTAATAATATCAGGGAGACAACCAAAATTCAAACAGGAAAGCACTGTCACAACTATGATGCAGAAGTTCAAGCCGTTAAGATACCAGCAGAGGAACTACTAAATGCTGGGTATTTTTCACAACCAGTGGTATTCCTGACAGATGCTAAAGCGGTACTTCAGGCACTCCAGTCTGGAAAATTACCAAGCAAACGGATATTATTATCCGAAATAGGCAACCGTTGTAAATTAGTAATGCAGTGGATACCTTCCCACTGTGGAGTTCCCGGAAACGAAAGAGCTGATAAACTAGCTAAGGAAGGTGCAACTGAAGAACAACCCAACATACCAGTCTCTTATCAGCAGAAGAAGAGAATGATCAAATCAATCAGAATGCCACCGAAACTGGTAAAAGACGATTACCAAATTATGGACAGACCAGAGCAAGTCATTATCCTTCGTCTTAGAACAGGGCACAATCGACTTCGCTGCCACATGTGCAACAAATTTAAGATTGGCCAATCAGCCATGTGTACCTGTGGACTGGCACCTGAGACAACAGATCACATCCTTCAAGACTGTCCCAGATGCAACGCTTCCAGGCAAAGCCTCTGGCTAAAAGCGACACTTGTGGAAGTCAAACTTTACGGACCGCTTAGTGAATTACAAAAGACAGTGAAATTCATACTAGAGACAGCATTGCAGATATAGATAATTTATTTCATGCGAACGAAAGAAGAAGAAGACAACAGCTAAGTTGGGCTCCTGCAAAGGAAAACGCAGAAACACCTGCACACATTGTCCATGGCATTTTGTTCCCACGAATCTATCCTAATTTCTGTACCATTCATGTTCCTCTTGTGCACATCATTCATCTTTATATCGTTTTAGTACATATACACATACATACAACACACACACGCGCGCACGCAGAAACCAGCAACTTACCAGAAGTTCCTCAAACTGAATCAGATCTAACCCTGCTCCCTTCGCCTCGTCTTCGAGCGCTTGAGCCACCTTGTCGACGACCACCAGTAACTTCAGGCTGGGCAGCTCCGGGCATAAACTGATCAAAGTCTTGACTTTTGCTTCCGCGTCACAGATGACTGTGCTGATTTTACCTGTGGATCACATCTTCCAGTCTACTGTCTGATCTGTCTAGTATAATCATACAAGCCAGTGATTGTACCTGTGGATAACATCTTCCAGTCTACTGTCTGATCTGTCTAGTGTAATCATCCACGCCAGTGATTGTACCTGTGGATCACATCTTCCAGTCTACTGTCTGATCTGTCTAGTATAATCATACAAGGCAGTGACTGTACCTGTGGATCACATCTTCCAGTCTACTGTCTGATCTGTCTAGTATAATCATACACGCCAGTGATTGTACCTGTGGATCACATCTTCCAGTCTACTGTCTGATCTGTCTAGTATAATCATACACGCCAGTGATTGTACCTGTGGATCACATCTTCCAGTCTACTGTCTGATCTGTCTAGTATAATCATACACGCCAGTGATTGTACCTGTGGATCACATCTTCCAGTCTACTGTCTGATCTGTCTAGTATAATCATACACGCCAGTGATCTTTGACCTGATTAAACCCGTGGCCCACCACGGCAGTAAACGCGTCCCACCTCACAGTTAACCACACACGCGTCTCACCTCACAGTTAACCACACACACGCGTCCCACCTCACAGTTAACCACACACGCGTCCCACCTCACAGTTAACCACACACACGCGTCCCACCTCAGAGTTAACTGCACTGCAGCCCATCTCACAGCTAACCACACACAAAGCAATAACACTTGTAGAAAGTAGTTGGTTAACACTCCATGTCAGAAAATTACACTTTTCAGATAAGGCGTGTTACGCTAATTTTGGGGTGTTGTTTCTGATATCTGAAGCGATACAATAACATTAATTTCATGTCTCCGTTTGGTTTTTATTATTGACATAGCTGAGCAAGTCATTTCACAAAACTATGAAGTCACTGATGGTTTAATCCTACAGTTTGAAAGAGAACAACCGCCTACCCGACATTGAATCCTACAGTCTGAAAGAGAACAACCGCCTACCCGACATTGAATCCTACAGTCTGCAAGAGAACAACTGCCTACCCGACACTGAATCATACAGTCTGGAACAGAACAACTGCCTACCCGACATTCAATCCTACAGCCTGCAAGAGAACTGCCTACCCGACTCTGAATCCTACAGTCTGGAAGAGAACAACCGCCTACCCGACATTCAATCCTACAGCCTGCAAGAGAACAACTGCCTACCCGACACTGAATCCTACAGCCTGGAAGAGAACAACCGCCTACTTGACACTGAATCCTACAGCCTGCAAGAGAACAACCGCCTACCCGACACTGAATCCTACAGCCTGCAAGAGAACAACTGCCTACCTGACACTGAATCCTACAGCCTGCAAGAGAACAACCGCCTACCCGACACTGAATCCTACAGCCTGCAAGAGAACATCTGCCTACCTGACACTGAATCCTACAGCCTGCAAGAGAACAACTGCCTACCCGACACTGAATCCTACAGCCTGGAAGAGAACAACCGCCTACCCGACACTGAATCCTACAGCCTGCAAGAGAACAACCGCCTACCGGACACTGAATCCTTCAGCCTGCAAGAGAACAACTGCCTACCCGACACTGAATCTTACAGCCTGCAAGAGAACAACCGCCTAAACGACACTGAATCCTACAGCCTGTAAGAGAACAACTGCCTACCTGACACTGAATCCTACAGCCTGCAAGAGAACAACTGCCTACCCGACACTGAATCCTACAGCCTGCAAGAGAACAACTGCCTACCCGACACTGAATCTTACAGTCTGAAAGAGAACAACTGCCTACCTGACACTGAATCCTACAGCCTGCAAGAGAACAACTGCCTACCCGACACTGAATCCCAGCAGAAATGTGGTTTGAGGAGGATCAAGTTCTGAGAAGGACTGTGCTTGAGAACTTGGTAACCACTGGCAAGGTTGTGGGAACAAGAGAAAAACAGAAGCCAACAAGAAAAATACCTAGATGGCTCAGCCAAATGGGTGGGGTGAGACAAGAACACTGACATGATCCAAGGTTCTGGTGATGGTGTGAAATGGCGAAACATGACTGCCTAAGTTTGTCTCCACAGCACATGTGAGCTATAAAGGTGTACAGCAGTACGGTCGTATTTAGTAGTATGTTGTACTTTAACAGTGACGTGCAGCCACTTAGCACAGTGGTGTTTTGTACTCTCACTGTGACGTGCAGCCACTTAGTACAGTCAGGTGTTGTTCTTTCACTGTGACGTGCAGCCATTTAGTACAGTCGTGTGTTGTACTTTCACGGTGACGTGCAGCCACTTAGTACAGTCGTGTGTTGTACTCTCACTGTGACGTGCAGCCACTTAGTACAGTCGTGTGTTGTACTCTCACTGTAACGTGCAGCCACTTAGTACAGTCGTGTGTTGTACTCTCACTGTAACGTGCAGCCACTTAGTACAGTCGTGTGTTGTACTCTCACGGTGACGTGCAGCCACTTAGTACAGTCGTGTGTTGTACTCTCACTGTGACGTGCAACCACTTAGTACAGTCGTGTGTTGTACTTTCCCCGTGACGTGCAGCCACTTAGTGCAATCGTATGTTGTATTTTAACCGTGACGTGCAGCCTTTTAGTACAGTTGTATGCTATACTTTAACTGTGTCATGCAGGCGTGGGGAACACGCATACATACAGGGTTTAGTATTGATCAATCCTTATGTAAGTGGAAGAACAATTAGAAATGACAAGACACGTAGAATAACATAAATAAATATTAGGCTATAAATCAACAGACCTGAATTCCCACCTGCTGCCTTACAATACCCCGTTTTAGTACCGTCAGACATGAACCAGAATTTTTTTCTTCCAAGGGATGCAGCTATTATGTAATATCTGGTATTTTAATTATCGCGCTTTCTCACACACACAGTTAGAACACACACACACACTCAAAACGTACATACACACACAAACCACCACATACTCATACTGCCCTCACAAACACACACGAAGACACGAACACACGAACCAAAACATTCTCATATTGATCTCACACACACAAGAAAACGCACATACATGTATTCTATACTCACACTGGTCAATTATGTACTTAATGGCCTGCAGTCCAAGCGTGTCGTAGAGTGGCACTGGACACATGGAATAAGCCTGACAGCCGTAGTCTGCAATGGTCCACTGTGTGTGCATGGGGCAGAAACATTCAGTGATCAGAAGTTTCTTTCTGATTAATTAGCATATTTAGTATGAACACAGACACACTCGAACATACACACACACACAAATAATCAAAAACAATACTGTATACACATACACACACAAATAATCAAAAACAATACTGTATACACATACACACACACAAATAATCAAAAACAATACTGTATACACATACACACACACACACACACACAAACAAATAATCAAAAACAATACTGTATACACATACACACACACACAAACACATAATCAAAAACAATACTGTATACACATACACACACACACACACAAATAATCAAAAACAATACTGTATACACATACACACACACAAACAAATAATCAAAAACAATACTGTATACACATACACACACACACAAATAATGCAACACAATACTGTATACACACACACACAAATAATGCAACACAATACTGTATACACGCACACACACAAACAAATAATCAAAAACAATACTGTATACATATACACACACAAACAAATAATCAAAAACAATACTGTATACACATACACACACACACACACAAACAAATAATCAAAAACAATACTGTATACATATATACACACACACACACACACAAACAAATAATCAAAAACAATACTGTATACATATACACATACACACACACACAAACAAATAATCAAAAACAATACTGTATACACATACACACAAATAATGCAACGCAATACTGTATACACATACACACACACAAAAAATGCAACACAATACTGTATACACACACACTCAATAATGCAACACAATACTGTATACACACACACACACAATAATGCAACACAATACTGTATACACATACACACACAAATAATCCAACACAATACTGTATACACATACACACACACACACACAATAATGCAACACAATACTGTATACACATACACACACACACAAATAATCCAACACAATACTGTACACACACACACACACACACACACACACACACACACAAATAATCCAACACAGTACTGTATACACACACACACATACACACACACAAACACACAAATATTCCAACATCCACTGGCACACAATTTATGCAGCATATATAGACCGTGCAGGGCACAGTGTTACGATCAAGACATACAAGGTGCACTCGATATGTTATTATTTAACAACACGCAGGCCGCCTTTCCTTCCCATGACACTATCTGGTACCCGATAGAGACTGGGCGACCTAGAGTTCAACCTGCGTCGTAGACACAATTTCGCCTGCAGGAGGATTCGATTCCAAGAGATTCGGGTGTCTGGCTAGTGCGATACCAGGCTTCATAATCAACATCCTTCTTCTTCTTCAAGAAAGGATATAAAACCAAACCAAAAGTTTACTAGCAAGCTTCACAATATAACAAATACTTTAGCATTCCGAGCCCTCGAGCTTCATGCAGACATCACCCGCCTCCATTCATGTATCTAGTCGCTCTTCTTTAGCATTTCGACCCCTCAAAGGGCATCGCTGCAGACATCACCCGCCTCCATTCATCTCTGTGGTTGGCCTTCTCTTTCCATCTGGTGACACTAAGTGTTTGTAAGTCTGTCTGGATGTTATCTCTCCATGCTCTTCAACATTTCTGCCATGTGAGATTATCTCAGTTTACCCCAGCTATGTCAGTCTATAGCTCTCATGATGTCAGTGATCGATGGTACGATATGATAAGTGTCACCATGGAAGCCAACATATATTTGCTAGATGATATAACAAGACCAGATGGAGTTCACACAGACAGGCGATGTTTTTTTTTTTGTTTTTCCAAATAATGTTTTACCTGATTCCCCCAGTTTATAACTAGAAAATTTGTAAGGCGTGCCTGGGGTATGAGTGATGGGTTGGGAAAGGGGGGGGGGGGGGGGTCCTCATTTGTATGTGATGAGTGTTTGTGTATGTCTATGCACACTCATGGCTGCAAGTGCTAGAGCATATGCACACGCACGGCTGAAAGTGCTACAGCATATGCACACGCACGGCTGCAAGCGCCAGAGCACATGCACACGCACGGCTGCAAGTGTTAGAGAACATGCACAGGCACGTCTGCATGCGCTAGAGTACAAGCACGTCTGCAAGCGTTAGAGAACATGCACACGCACGTCTGCAAGCGTTAGAGAACATGCACAAGCACGTCTGCAAGCGTTAGAGAACATGCACAAGCACGACTGCAAGCGTTAGAGAACATGCACAAGCACGTCTGCAAGCTATAGAGAACATGCACAAGCACGTCTGCAAGCGTTAGAGAACATGCACAAGCACGTCTGCAAGCGTTAAAGACACATGCACACGCACGTCTGCAAGCTTTAGAGAACACGCACAAGCACGTCTGCAAGCTTTAGAGAACATGCACACGCACGGCTGCATGTGCTAGAGCATATGCACACACACGGATGCAAGCGTTAGAGCACATGCACACACATGGCTGCAATCTTTAGAGAACATGCACACGCACGGCTGCAAGTGTTAGAGAACATGCACAAGCACGTCTGCAAGCGTTAGAGAACATGCACACGCACGGCTGCAAGCGTTAGAGAACATGCACACGCACGGCTGCAAGTGCTAGAGCATATGCACACACACGGCTGCAAGCGTTAGAGCACATGCACACACACGGCTGCAAGCGTTAGAGAACATGCACACGCACGACTGCAAGTGTTAGAGCACATGAAATTCATTGACTAACCTCTGGCCGGTTGGCCGCGTAGATGCCAACCTTGACTTCGTTGCTAGGGGCAACCCCTTGGTGAACTAGTCCTGAGCCAAACTGTAACACCTTGTCAACGACCTGCAAAACGATCACACATGTCTTACAGTCATCTTCAAGGTTGTCCATGTATCGCACCTGCCCACCTGTCTCAGTCTGCAGCGCCCGTGTGTTTCTAGACCCATTATATTGTCTTAGCGCGATTTCGATGGCTTTCCGCCAAGTCTGTCATTTGTGAATGTGATCTTGTCAAGCTAATCGTGTTTAATGTCCATGTTAAGTTGATCGTCTGATTGTGTTTCGAGCTACCGTAGCTCCTGTCTTCTTATCATTTAAATTCAGTTTGAATTATTAATTGCGAGCGTTATAAATAGTCAATTCTTGAAGCTACTTCCAGTTTGCGAAGATCACCAACAGGCATTTAGCACAGTCATGTCTAGCTGGCAACAAAGGACTTTAGAAACAAAGGTATTCTTTTCCTGCAGTGCACATTTTATAGTGGATTTACAGACGAATGATGAGACTAACATGGGCAGACAAGAGTAATGAAGCTGTCTTGAAGGAAACGACTTAAGAAGAGAACTGAATCACCAGATCGGAAGTAGGCAATCTGCGTTCTTTTGTCATGTCCGGAGAAGGGAAAAAACACTGGCGTAATTCGTGACAGTGGGAACGGTGGAGGAGAGGAGAGGCAGATTGAGATCGAGAAAGAAGCTAGACAGTTTGACAAGACGGCGTGGGAGATCACATGCGTCAGAACTGACTAGAAGTTCAGGAGACAGAAGGTTGTGGATAGACATGACTACCAAGACCACACGGCATGCCCTTTCAGACACAAGACAGAAGGGTGTGGATAGACATGACTACCAAAGACACATGGCATGCCCTTTCAGACACGAGACAGAAGGTTGTGGATAGACATGACTACCAACGCCACATGGCATGCCCTTTCAGACACAAGACAGAAGGTTGTGGATAGACATGACTACCAACGCCACATGGCATGCCCTTTCAGACACGAGACAGAAGGTTGTGAATAGACATGACTACCAACGCCACATGGCATGCCCTTTCAGACACAAGACAGAAGGTTGTGGATAGACATGACTATCAACGCCACATGGCATGCCCTTTCAGACACGAGACAGAAGGGTGTGAATAGACATGACTATCAACGCCACACGGCATGCCCTTTCAGACACGAGACAGAAGGGTGAGGATAGACATGACTACCAACGCCACATGGTATGCGCTTTCAGACACGAGACAGAAGGGTGGGGATATATTCGACTACTAACGCCAATGGCATGTCCTTTCTGAAGAAGTGTAGAATTTTTTTTTTTTTTCTAAATCAGGTTAGTCTATGAAGCAGAATCAGGTCTCTGACAGACAGGATGTGGGTATTTTATGTTGCCCGGGCCAAACACTGACATTCTAACAATGTGTATGAGTTAAACTAACGACAGTAGCAGTACGGATGAGTGTGAGAGTGAAACCATCCAATGATCTCATCTCACCTGCTGGTAAGACATCCACTCGAATTCTTTCTTGGGGCCGGTTCGTGCTCCCAGGCAGGGGTTATTCTCTGAAACAGCATTAAAAGTAACGTGAAAGTTGTTGAAAGTTAGTTTCAACTGAGTAGACACTTATTTATTAATTGTTACAATTCGTAGGCAGGGATAGGCCATGATAATATATATAATCTTCTTTTTCTTGGTTCACCAGCTGTGAGCTACGGCGAAAAGTCCTGGCTGTTTGTCCATTTCGACTTTTGCTTTGTGCTAGGGCCTGAGTTGTACATGCCCCAGTTAGTCGACTTCTACGACATGCTTGTTGGCGAGGCAGTGGGTCTATCATTTCCCCCCAGACAATGGGTCCCGGAACTCACACGGCGAGATATACAATAATGAACGGTTATTTTAAGGAAGGGCATCGAGCCAGCTGCTTGGATTCTGTGTGTTTTCTAATGCTCAGGTGTGTCTCTTGTATCTCTGCTTCATTCTCTTGTCTTCTGTCAGCTGTTGTCCCTCTGACATCTGTCTAACTTGGTAACTTCCAATCCCCACCTAGTCTAAAGTTAAAAATGGCTTTGACTATGTGAACAGTGAACAGTTTTCTCATTCCCAACAAATGGTTCGCAGTTTATTCATTGTCAAACAGGATGTTACTTGGTCATTTGTGCCTTCTGTATTCCTGCTTTTGTTTTTTTGTATCTGTCTATCTAACTATCTATTTCTCTATTTATCTATCTATCTATCTATCTATCTATCTATCTATCTATCTATCTATCTATCTATCTATCTATCTATCTATCTATCTATCTATCTATCTATCTATCTATCTATCTATCTATCTATCTATCTATCTATCTATCTATCTATCTATCTTCTCTCTCTCTCTCTCTCTCTCTCTCTCTCTCTCTCTCTCTATCTATCTATCTATCTATCTATCTATCTATCTATCTATCTATCTATCTATCTATCTATCTATCTATCTATCTATCTATCTATCTATCTATCTATCTATCTATCTATAAATGTATGATGTATATCTTGATTTGAAACTGTGAATGCTCTTGCTACACTCTAACAAACGCCCATGTTCAACGCGTGATGAGTCGACCAGTATAGAATGACATTACTCACTAGATTGCCGCAAGCCCCTCAGCAGTGCCCCATAGACTGTGTTGACCTCTGCGGCAGGCAGGTCCCTGTCGTAGTAGTCCGGCCCCTTGCTGAACCTCGAGGCCCGATGCTCCGGCTGTCGAGAGAATGTGAGTATTGAATTATACATTACACAGCTGTACAATCATCTGCACTACTCTGAGATACTCCAGATATGTTATACAAGTAATCAACTCCTCCTCTTACATCTTTTCTTCCTCCTCCTATCCTTCCTTCTTCTTCTCCGCTCCAACTCATGTATGTCCTCTCCTCCTCCTCCTGCACAAGGTTTAGCTTATACTATTATCCCCACACCCTGTATGTATTACACCATGTATAAATTACACCATGCTGGTGCTGTAGCCACAGACTGTGCATTTCAAGTGACCCTCCCCATCGCAGCTCATGCCGTGTCTCCCGCCGTCTGTTTCACGTGACTCTCTTGCTCTCGCTCCGTTTACTCGTTTGATCCCATCGGTAAATCTACGTGGCCCCAATTCTGCGAGTGCTACAGCCAAATATAATATGACCAATTAGATTTGCAACATAGAATCAAGCAACTGTGTTCTGTACCTGTCCATCGATGACCACCGACTGGTCATTCAAGTCGAAGGGAAGCTGAAGAGGCTTCGTGGAGCCGCCAGCTGAAATCATGAATGACGCGGCTGCAATCCCGGCTACAGCTGCGGCTGTTACTGCAATCGGGTTGTCTGAGACCAGCTGTTGCAGCTTCCGCAGAAGATCACTGTCTGTCTGTGCAGTCATACCGTTTGCTTTACTCCTGCAGACAGACTTTAGGGGGTCAATATAATGTGTACTAAACGAGTCTCTATCTATCTATCTATCTATCTATCTATCTATCTATCTATCTATCTATCTATCTATCTATCTATCTATCTATCTATCTATCTATCTATCTATCTATCTATCTATCTATCTATCTATCTATCTATCTATCTATCTATCTATCTATCTATCTATCTATCTATCTATCTATCTATCTATCTATCTATCTATCTATCTATCTATCTATCTATCTATCTATCTATCTATCTATCTATCTATCTATCTATCTATCTATCTACCTATCATGTAACACGGGTCTGAGTGCTGAGTTTGTGACCCTTTCAAAATAAAGTTTGTTTGTTTTGTCCGTCTGTTTGCTGTATGTCTGCTTTCTGTCTGTTTGCTGTCTATCTGTCTGTTGTCTGTCTGTCTGTCTGCCAAACTGTTTTCTGTATCTGCATTGTTAGTCTTCGATAGGTAGACAAGATTTCAATAATAGATGTGTGTATGATGTTGAAGGTTAAAACTTGGTTGTGTATGATGTTGAAGGTTAAAACTTGGTTGTGTATGATGTTGAAGGTTAAAACTTGGTTGTGTATGATGTTGAAGGTTACCAGCTGTTTATATGATGTTGAAGGTTAAAATTTGTGTATGACGTTAAACGTTAACAGTTATGTGTCTGGTGTTGAAGGTAACAGTTATGTGTATGAGGTTGAAGATTAACAGTTATGTGTATGAGGTTGAAGATTAACAGTTATGTGCATGAGGTTGAAGATTAACAGTTGTGTGTACGCCGTTGAATATTAACAGTTGCTTATGTGAGGTTAAATATTAATAGTTGTGTGTATGAAGTTGAAGATAAATAGTTGTGTGCGTAATGTTGAAGGTTAACTTTTATGTGTATGATCTTAGAAGGTTAACATTCGCGAGCCTGAGATTAAAGGTAATAGTTGTGTGTATGATGTTGAATATTAACAGCTGTGTGTATAATGTTGAATGTTAACAGTTGTGTGTATAATGTTGAATGTTACCATGACAAATACCAATGTGATAATCAGATAAATAAAACAAATTTACAAGTGCTCAGCTAATGTCTGGAACAAATATCTGAGTTGGCAGACCTAGGTGTTTTAATGACTTGTACACAGATGTATGACAGGAGGTCACTTCATGAAATGCTGATCGACAAACTGTGTATTCAACACGCACATGGCGCGACATGCCGTATATTCTTGTTTTGTGGCAGCCAATCAATACTAGCGTGTTTAATAAACTCCATACTCAATCAACAGAGATCTTGGTGTGTCAAGGTTAAAAAGATCATCGCAGTACGTTGTAGAACCAACCACAGCATGCCATTGCTTACCGAGCGGTCGAACTACTGGACGTAAATTTGCCTAGAAAAACCACACAACAGCCAGGGGCTGATGAGGTTGTTGGTTCTGCAACGTCCTGTAAAGGATACGCAACTAACCTATACCGAGGGGTATGGTCTCGTGGTCACTGTGGAAACCAAAGTAGGGCGTTCTGCTACCAAATCGCCCGCGACTGGAATTGAACACGGCACCTCGCAACACCAAAGCTGAACACAGCACCTCGCAACACCAAAGCTGAACACAGTACCTCGCAACACCAAAGCTGAACACGGCACCTCGCACCACCAAAGCTGAACACAGTACCTCGCAACACCAAAGCTGAACACAGTACCTCGCAACACCAAAGCTGAACACAGTACCTCGCAACACCAAAGCTGAACACAGTACCTCGCACCACCAAAGCTGAACACAGCACCTCGCAACACCAAAGCTGAACACAGTACCTCGCAACACCAAAGCTGAACACAGCACCTCGCAACACCAAAGCTGAACACAGTACCTCGCAACACCAAAGCTGAACACAGCACCTCGCAACACCAAAGCTGAACACAGTACCTCGCAACACCAAAGCTGAACACGGCACCTCGCACCACCAAAGCTGAACACGGCACCTCACAACACCAAAGCTGAACACGGCACCTCGCAACACCAAAGCTGAACACGGCACCTCGCAACACCAAAGCTGAACACAGTACCTCGCAACACCAAAGCTGAACACAGCACCTCGCAACACCAAAGCTGAACACAGCACCTCGCAACACCAAAGCTGAACACAGTACCTCGCAACACCAAAGCTGAACACAGTACCTCGCAACACCAAAGCTGAACACGGCACCTCGCACCACCAAAGCTGAACACGGCACCTCACAACACCAAAGCTACAACAATCTTCACCTCCACGAGAGGGCACTAGTCTGAGTCATCTACTGGTGGCAAATCCTGAATATCCTCTAAATCTGTTAAGGGCTTGAATCCCCTTCTTGAAAGATGCCTCCTTTAACTTGTCTGTGCACAGAAGGATGTGTGGGCAGTTTGAGTATAATCATCATGTATTGGCCGAGAATGTGATCGTGGCCTCACTGACCATCAACTTCTGTAGTTGTCGATCTACTATCGTAACCCAAACCATCATCTGGGCTGTGGGTGCCCCTTGAGCCACGGGTTAGGGCATCTGAGACTCAAGCATCTTCAGATTTCCCGGAGTGAGCAAGCGAGGGGAGGAAAGGAGTTTGCTGACCCCACCTTTTTTTTTTTTTTTTTTTAATTTAACATTTCCTTTCTAGAACCATCGTTTGTTTATTAACAGAAAGAGATTTGCAAATGAATAACCTAGTGCAATCAAGGAGAACGCAGTATACTGGCTTTCTCGAAGACTTCTAGAAGGAAAGCTTTCAATTTTATTAGCGTATCTTGGTGTAGACTGTAGACTGATGCAATCCAGACGCAATTAGAAAAAAATATTGTAGGAGCCTAGACAGTTAACAAGTTGAGCCCTACTAGAATCTTTTAGAAGCAGTTTAGTGAGTAGAAAACACATTCAACACATGCCAGCGATTCAGTATAAATAGTGGGTAAGATATCACTTGAACATTCTTAAATCGTCGATACTCTGAAGAAGGGGGACTAGTGATATGGACTCTCGCAGACGAGTACCTTCAGTTGTTGGAGATGTCAGCTCAAGACTAGAAGGAAAGGAACCAGACACACGAAGCCTCAAAGACAATCACTAGAGAGAACATATGAAACTTAACATCAAACTACAGAGAAAGCAAACAAGGTACATGGATCCATGTTCAACAGAGTCACATTAGATAGAAACACTACTAAGATATTAGAGTCGACGATCAAGCCGTTAGTGCCAGACAGCACTAGAAGTCATGTGGCAGTCATAATGAGTAGAACCAGTTCATAAATAAACAAAGATTAAAAATACAACGCGACCTTATGTAACGAAATAGCGAAATCTGCGGCCATTCGGGATATCATTGATGTTATTTGTGACACTGCTCGGGTATCACAACAAATACAGTATAGCAAAGAAGCGCTGTTTCAAGACAGTTTATTAAACAAGCATCACATTGTCGTGAGAAGCCTGTAGCAAGCAGAGAGACCATCATCATCACCACTATCATCGCGACCATCTTTCTCCTCGTCTATATTCTTCAATTGACTTCTTGTGTAGCAAATTAAAGACGAACCTGGGTATGACATCAATGTAAACAAAAAGACAACTGTGCTACACTTTACTTTACATGTGTCTTTGGGGCAACGGGGTGGTCGCTGGAGTTATAGATTTCGTACACCCTACAACGCTATCAACAGACGGCCAGCTGCCCCCCCCCCCCCTCCCCTGGAGACACGTAAAACAAGGTGCAACAAAACCAAACCTCTAGCATGCCACTACCTAAAATTTCTGCGAAGAAACACTAACCTAAATTAACAGCTTTAAATAATGCACAAACAAAAAGCGATATAGTGAAATAAGACTGTATATAGACAGCAACTCAACTTACACAACAAGAGGAACGGGACTTGACTGAACACTAAAATCTAAACAGCAGCTATCGCCCGTGTCAAAGGTCGATGTCTGCCCTTATAGTGTGCGTGTGTTGTGTACTGTGTGTGTGTGTTGTGTACTGTGTGTGTGTGTGGTATGGTGTTTTTCAACTTGTCTTGATTCCTGTTTTCGCTATCAGCATAGCTGAATGAACAAGTCGGTTTATCAGACAACAAGGGCCAGGCGGCGTATACAATACTTTCTGTGGCTGGATGTAGTTAGATCGTACTGTATGTGATAAAGCAAATTATCAACAAGTGTCTGACAGGGCGAGCATGTTATCTACACCTTACCAGTATGAATCTCATCGTCATCTGGTACCTTCCATGCCCTGACCAACAGGACAATCTTGAGGCCTCTACAGTGTCTCCTATCCTCATCGTGACCTCTCTCCGGTAGAGGCCTCCACAAGACCCCACACCCCAGCTACCAAGAGACCTGTCCACTTTCCTCTCCGTCTAGATGCCTCCACAAATCCCCACCCCAGCTACCAAGAGACCTGTCCACTTCCCTCTCCGTCTAGATGTCTCCACAACTCCCCACCCCAGCTACCAAGAGACCTGTCCACTTCCCTCTCCGTCTAGATGTCTCCACAACTCCCCACCCCAGCTACAGAGAGACCTGTCCACTTCCCTCTCCGTCTAGATGCCTCCGCTAGACCCCACCCCAGCTACAGAGAGACCTGTCTAGTTTCCTCTCCGTCTAGAGGCCTCCACAAGACCCCACCCCAGCTACAGGGAGTCCTGTCTAGTTCCCTCTCCGTCTAGAGGCCTCCACAAGACCCCACCCAAGCTACCAACAGACCTGCCTAGTTCCCTCTCAGGAAAGAGCTTCTCACATGTTCAGTATGTATTTTTTCCTAATTAGGCCAGAAATGTAAAATAAAAAAACTACCCTCTTATGATATTTGTAATAAATCGTCTGCGTGTCTATGTGTCTGTAAAACCACAGAAACCAATCACTTTATCTGTCCAATGAATGTTCGGCAATCTTTGATGAAACAAAATGTGTGTGGCCATGCTGACATTCTGTTGTGTTTTGTGTGAATTGTTTGCTACAAGTCCATACTACCAGCCCGATGTTCGAGCACTAATATCCTAGTGTGTAACCATACATGGCAGAGACTTATTGCAACCGATCTTCATCTCTCGAAATGCCTTTCTTAGCTGTCCTATTTTGTTCTCAGATTTAAAAATGTCGATTGAAACTAATGAATATTAAATGGGACGAATTCCAGAAAAGTGAAAAAATAAGAGACATGCCTAAACAACAGCTAGACCTGTCCCCACCTTCGTGTATTTTCCAGACAATAGTGTGTTTATGACCTGTCCTCAATTTCGTGCAAGTTCCAGACTCTAGTGTTTATGACCTGTCCTCAATTTCGTGCGTCTAGTGTTCATGACCTGTCCTCATTTCCGTGCAAGTTCCAAACTCTAGTGTTTATGACCTGTCCTAATTTTCGTGCAAGTTCCAGACTCGTTTATGACCTGTCCTCAATTTCGTGCAAGTTCCAGACTCTAGTGTTTATGACCTGTCCTCAATTTCGTGCAAGTTCCAGACTCTAGTGTTTATGACCTGTCCTCATTTTCGTGCAAGTTCCAGACTAGTGTTTATGACCTGTCCTCATTTTCGTGCAAGTTCCAGACTAGTGTTTATGACCTGTCCTAATTTTCGTGCAAGTTCCAGACTAGTGTTTATGACCTGTCCTCATTTCCGTGCAAGTTCCAGACTCTAGTGTTTATGACCTGTCCTCATTTCCGTGCAAGTTCCAGACTCTAGTGTTTATGACCTGTCCTCATTTTCGTGCAAGTTCCAGACTCTAGTGTTTATGACCTGTCCTCATTTTTGTGCAAGTTCCAGACTCTAGTGTTTATGACCTGTCCTCATTTTCGTGCAAGTTCCAGACTCTAGTGTTTATGACCTGTCCCGATTTTCGTGCAAGTTCCAGACTCTAGTGTTTATGACCTGTCCCGATTTTCGTGCAAGTTCCAGATTCTAGTGTTTATGACCTGCCCTCATTTTCAAGACTAGTGTTTATGACCTGTCCTCTTCGTGCCTGTTCCAGACCATAGAGTATGACTTATCCCCAGCTTTGTGCATGTTCCAGCCTTGAGCGTTTATGATCTGTCCCTCTTATTATACACATGGTGGCACTTTGTGTCACCGGGTGTTTATCGCTTTTGTGTTCTGGTGGGGTGCAACCACCAACCCACCCTAGCTTTCTATAAGAGGACAGACAAACACAAAACGGAATGTTATACAAAGAAAAACACCCAATAAATAAATGCGTCTGAAAAATAATTCACTATCTTTAAAAAAAAAAACTAACGCCACAAAAGCTAAGTTGGTTTAACCAGCTGCGCGGGTCACACCAGCTACCTTGGCTTCCCATGGTCATAGACGTGACCACACACCATTTTTTAAATCTGCAGTTAGCAAAACAAAACCACTTTGAGCATAGTTGGAAAAAAAATGCATTATGAAATATGAGTGACTAGGCGAAAGAAAGACAGTTACCATCGTTTACCATATGAGAGGAGAGAAATGCACATGTGCAGTAGTCGAAACGCACGACTTCCACCATTCACCTGCGGGGTACTGCAAACCAGACTATCAACGTCTACTCCTATGGTAAAACAGATAGCGGCGACATTTTAGTTATTGTGGTAATGGAAGTTGTACTAGTGCTTTAAAGATAGTGTGGTAAAAATTACACTGGCATCATTTACTACTCATTACAATTTCTGATCACCATTTTAGTCCGGATGGATATCAAGGTCAGTTATGAAAAATGTCAGGCGGGGACTTTCAAATCCTTCAAAGGAGGAGCGAGCAGTAGTCGGCTGACGGGGGACGACAGAAATTGTTAACTTGAAAAGGCTCAACACACGATTGTAAATTTTTATTTCCTAATTTGTTTACACTTTACTAACGCTACTCCTGCTATTTAAAATTTTTTTTAATGACATTTACGAGTACAGTAGTAAGCCCCTGTCATAAAAATAGAAACAGCGTTAGCATGCGATTACCAAAAAAAAAATTTAATGTGCAAATACAATTTAAACCACTACTAATTTAGACTTATATGTTGCGTGTTCTTAAGTCGGCAAACCAGACTACCTCAATCTCTGCAGACAATGATTGCTACTTCTATTGTCTTTCTTTTCCATTTAGCTAAATGTAGAGAAGCATGAGTTGGCAGAGCTCCTAGTGATGATGCAGTTTTTCTCTTGACCGGGGCTGTAGTTATAACAATTAAAGACGAATGATTTATCTTGTGCGCTTCATATTCCAAGAGAACCAGTAATGCTGGCTGACAGGTGTACGTTCCCTATTGCAGTCTCCTGACACTTTTATGTGGTGACAACTCTCGACTTCCTATGTATACAATAACAAGACAGTTTGGACAAGCATCAATATAAAAGTGAAGACATTTGTAGCAGATAAAGTTTATTTTCCTTACTTGGTACACTGACACAAACAAAAACAATACAGCTTGATGCAACAACTAAATCAGCCAACAGGTCAGGCTGTACTGAATTGAAACTCTTGAGACCAGTTGTAGCCTACAGGAGGCAGCTCAGAAATGACAGCTTAATTCCAGTTCTCGTCTGGGTTTGACCAGTTTGCTACAGTATCAGGAGCGACTTCCTGGGTTGCAGTCCAGTCACCTATCTTGGGGACATTCCATTCGTCAGCTACTGGAGGGAAAACCTGGGGCTGGAGAACCACAGCCGGCACTGGTACATCTTCAGCTGCCCAATCGCTGACATCGGGTGCTCCAACAATACCTGCACAGGACACAGCAGAGATTAATAATCTTTCTATGACAAAAAGAGCTGGAGGAAAAAGAAAAAAATGCCAAGGAAGAGAATAGACGAATAAAAAAAGAAGTAGAGAGGCAAAAAGATAAAGCAAAAGAGCGACATAGGGAGAAAGTCAGTGACAAAGCAAAATAATTCTTTCTTCTTCTTTGCGTTTACCAGCTGTAAACAGAAAGTTCTGGTTGTTCATCTACATCTGGACTGCAGTCCTGTTCCAGAACCTAAGTGTTGCGTGTGCATCCATTTTACAGATCTGACTCATCTGTACACAGACTGGTGGTTCTTTGACTCTCAGGCAGATGCACTCCAACTTTGAAGGGATAAGAGAGGGGTGGGTAGGGAGACAAGACAGTGAAAGTCTGCCAAAATTGCTAAAACATTAGGACTTCCGTTTTCAAAATGGCGGACAGCAGCTGTGTTTATTGTCGCTGGCTGTCAATTCTCTCTGATTATTCTGTTCTATAATCATGGACTGCTATTTTATGCGCATTTCCAACGCTGGATATTATGTGTTTTTCGTGGGAAAAGCGTGTGTTGTGGTTGTGCTGTGTCGGGGCGGGATAATGACTGATAGTTTTGGCAGCCTCGGCCTTCGCAATGTTTTGATCGCGGCGGTCCACTCGGGAAGACAGAATCTCGTCAGCAGGGGACTGCAACTGTCTAGAGAGCAAACTCGATAAAAGCTGTCCCCAGAAACGGAATGTGTCAACCATATATTTGGTGGGGAGGAATCGACACATGCGGTTAACTCAATGGCCATGCGCAAATATTTATCCAATAGTGGTACCACCACGTTGGGTAACAATCAAGTGAAAGCGGGACTCGCTCTCGCTAACACATTAAAGAAAAAAACCGACCCGCCAAATGCTGAAACCCCACACATTTGTTTTGGACACAACCACTAGGAAATGACAGTCATAGGGCAGCATAGCAAATTTAGAAAAACCGAGAATGGAGAGGGGGAAAGAAGAAATAAGCGTAAGATAAAAAGGATAATGAAGAAGAGAGGGGGCAGGAAGGATAACAAGAGAGAACAAGTAGAGGACTGAAAGATCAAAGGAAAAAGAAGGGATGAGAAAAGAAAGATGTGATATGGGGAGGGGAGGGGGGAGCAGAGTCAGGCACGGTAACAACACAAATTAGCAAGTCGTTTACAGAACATTGCTCTCCTCATGGCACATCTAGAAGTATCCTCTTCCCTAACCAAGCTCTCCAAATCGACTAAGAACACAGAGCAAAAAAAATGAAATTAGAAAAATCTAGGCGACATCACCTCTCCAGCTCCCAGTGTGAACATGGCCAGAAAGATCTGCCAACAATTTCATTTCAAAAGTTTGTTTTACTTCAATTCTACCACAGCCACGGTCAATAATCCAGCTTTATGAAGGACGGCATGTCTTTTCCAAGGTCAATAAAACAAATTCCAGGTTTACGGTCTGCTACCAAACGTGATATAAAAAAACCTGTAAATGGATGCTCAAACAACATGATGGAATACGACTGAAGTTTATAATCCAAACAGGAATAGTCAGCTTGATGAAAGCTGCTATAACACGTGGACAATAGGTACTGTAGTCTACCAAAAACCCCAAGCTTGCTACACAACGACCCCCCCCCCCCCCCGACATGCTTGAGATTTTATTATGTTCTATACACAACATGTAGTCACATTTGTATATACTGGTGCGGCATGCTTTTTCACACAAAGATGAGGAAACATGAAAGATCAAAAAATAAATTTTTTTTTTAAAGGAACAAAAGTATATATTGTCTTTGCACTGAAGCACACAAGTAATGGCAGACTAGAAAGTGTGTAGAACTGATTTAGAGCATGTGTAGAACTGGAGAAAGAAGGATTAGCATGGTAAATGGGTTAAGGGCAGAAAACAATTATAGGTAAATGTTTCCTTCCACAAAGGATCTAGCACAGTATGAGATATGACCTAATCAAAAGGATTCCAGCTATCACATGTCTGTTCCTGTCAGTTAAGTTTTAACTGAGGTGGAATACATTCATACTGTGTGTAACAAGTTAAATCAGTATAGTAAAAACAAGCCACTTACTGGGTTCACCTGGCCAGTCTGGCTGAGGTGCTGGGATCTCATCCTTAGCCCTCTCAAGTGCCTCCTTTTCTTCCTTCTCAACTTCCTCTGGGTCACGGTAGAAGAAGAGATCAGGCATGATCTCCCATGGGTGGTCACGAGAAATGGTGCCCCTCAGGCGCAGAACCTCACGAGACAGGAGCCACCACATCAGACCAATCGACTGGGCCCCCTGAGATAGCACACCAGACAATGTATTAGTGGCATCATTCAAAATGATAAAATATACATAGTAACCGCACTGGGCCCCCTGAAATAGCACACCAGACAATGTATCAGTGGCATCATTTAAAATGATAAAATATACATAGTAACCACACTGTACACCCTGGGATAGCACACCAGACAATGTATCAGTGGCATCATTTAAAATGATAAAATATACATGGTAACCACACTGTACACCCTGGGATAGCACACCAGACAATGTATCAGTGGCATCATTTAAAATGATAAAATAGAGTAACCACACTGTACACCCTGGGATAGCACACCAGACAATGTATCAGTGGCATCATTCAACATGATAAAATATACAGAGTACCCACACTTTACATCCTACTGCACCTCTCAGCTCAGACGAAAATGATCAAATAGCTAGTTCTTGCACTGTAATGAACAAAGCAACTTCACTGACAGCCCTTCACATTTCACCAACCATCTTGAGGCAGCACTAAGCGGTCAAACTTATGACAGATATGAGTTTGACAAACTAGTGGACTTTTATGGTAGGTGGATTACAGTGCAGTAGGCATGTTCTTTCCTCTAAAGTAGGTGCCAAAACCCACAACGGGTTAAAAAAATTTGCTCTGGACAGACTGGTATTAAACAGCCAATAATGTTTTTCAAATTCATTAAACCAGACACTAAAGCAGAAATCCTAAATGATGTCCTATGCTGTAGCATATTTGCTAGGTAATTAAACTAACAGCCTTAAATGTGTTAGTCAGGCAACAACAACAAACCATCAATGTTTACCTTGTTGTTACATGGGATGGCAATGTCCACATGCTGCAGGGGTGAGTCAGTGTTGCAGAAAGCAACAACAGGGATGTTCACGTAGGAGGCCTCGGTCACTGGCTGGTGGTCAATGCGTGGGTCAGTCACAACCAGCAGACGCGGCTCCCGAAAGGCAGCCTTTATAAGGAAACAGTTTTGAATTATCAAGTAGATCAACACGTGCACTACTTTTTGGGTCACAATTCATGTCATGCAATAATGTTAGCATGGTCAGGCATTTTTAAAGATACAACATCAAGAATTACCACAAATATCACAGCAAAAAAAGCTGAACATTTTATATAAGCACTATTGCCACTATCATACAGATCTTGCACAATGTGGTGAGATCAGACACCTTGTCCACATGAAAGGCTCACAAAATGATACAAAACACCAGTAAACCACCATAATATTTGTGTTACTATTGCGTTATAAAATCCTAGATTCATATTAACCCAATAAACATGTTGCAGTTGTCATTTAAATGTAACAATGGAAACATCTTCACCTCCAAATTATTCTGCATACTCATGTACCTTGCAACGTCAGAAGAAGTATAATTAAAGAGGCAGTGCCTGTATGTTATGTGTGCTTCAGAATTATACATTATGTTTTTATACGTATGATGATCTAAACGGTTTAGCAAGCTGTACCCGCTCAAGTGTTGTAGTTTAATTTAGCATAGAAAAGCTAGAAAATAGAAATTGCACGTCTGTAACATGGTTAATGTTGCAATCGTTGCCGGCGAGATACAGATAGTCCAGTTGCTGCACATCTCGCCAGCGTATCTTAAGTTTGTGTGTCCCAAATACTGCCCATTCGCCCGTACAGACATGACTTAAATGAAATGTCACTGTAGAAAAAAATTATTATAACAAATTTCTTCATCTATTTATAACAATGACAGGTAGCATCCCAAAATCAAAACAAACATATCCTAAAAATTGCAACTAAATTGTTCAGTAGTTGCTAAGGCTATTGGTAACCCCCATATAACTATATATATTTATACACACACACAAATTTTTTTGAGTCTGAATTTTATCTTTTTTTGTTGAGTGTTTTGTGATGTATGCTTGATAAATCTGCTGCTGTAAGATGATGTGCTTTTGCATCACATCCTGTTAAACCAATGAGATGAATACTACTAAATCTTTTAAGTAACAGTGCTAGTGGATTACATTGTAATGTACTTCTGGTCTAATCTAGTCATTTTGGGAGGCTGCGTGAGTAGCCTTACGGCACAGCTACAGGTAAAATTTACACTCAAGTATTTCAGGATATTCTTAAAGTTTGTGCACTGCGCTGAGATTCTTTGGACTCCAGTTTGACTCAAATGTAGAATAGTGCACTCACAAGTAAGCTCTTGTGTCACGATGATTCGTTGTTAAAACCTAAACCCGGAGTCATTTACATTGTCCTCAGTTATTGTATTAAAGATATAGCTATGCATGAAAAGCTACACAAATGTCACAAGAGTCAACGTCAAAAACACACAAATTTACATACCTGGATCTGGTTAGTGAATGTTCCAGGGGTGAATCGTCCAGCGATGGGGGTGGAGCCAGTTGAAGATGCAAACTTCAGGACAGCCCTCTGTCCGTAGGGACGAGCAGAAATGACGCAGATATCAGCTGGGTTCTCAATGGCTACGATTGCACGAGCCGCAAGCAACAGCTTCTCCCAGGTCTTCTTCAGGTTGATGATGAAAATGCCTAATGTAAAATATTTCAGGTAAACCAAATATTTCACTGCAGACAGTATGAGACAATTGTGTGTCTAGGCTGCGTTACAGAATAAAGTTGCTAAAATCAACATTTTATAAATTTTCTGCACTTGTGAGACAAGCCATTTTCCCTCTAGGGTTGAAGTCGCTAAAGTTTTTTTTAATGTGTAAATCATGGTGTGAAGAACTGGACCCTGATCAATTCTAAATTCATCAGTTAAAACGGGGGTATACTTTCCGGTGATTTAAACTGGTTCAAGGATAGACCACTTTATATGACAACATGGTAGTTAATTTTGGTATCATATGTGAAGGCAGCTAGCTCAACAACCATCATAGATATCGAAATACACTCCTTCCCAGGGTGTCAGTGTACCACCTATATATTAGGAGTGGCACATATGACAAAGTGATAACTGCCTTGTTGCAGGACAGATAATACACGACATACTTTAGCCCATCAGTTTTGATATATTGTCAATCCTCACAGATAATTCAGAGTTGGATTGTTAATGATACATCATATGAGCTGGACAATTACAAATTCTGTGAGATAGAAGTGAGAATTTGAGGCTACATGGACGGTGAGTCACTACAAACACTGCCACTGCCTTGTGTAGGATGCACACTTTAGTCTTCAGAAAAAAACACAGAAATAACTTGGTTGCTGCCAGACAACCGAAACTGAAGGAAATTGAAGCAAAACAATCTTTCCACACAATGGGTACTGCCATCACTGTATGTATTGACCACTTTGTTGAGGTGTAGTCTGAGACCCAGAATTTATCGCTGCACTGCTAGCTTTCACACCACAGGATTTTATGTTTGCTTACAAGGGATACAAAATTTATATTATTATGTTTATGTTCTACTGGGTACAAACACAACAAAGGCAGAGGACAGACAATGAATTTCATATTATAGCCCATCAGTTGTGATATGTTGTCAATCCTCACAGATAATTCAGAGTTGGATTGTTAATGGTACATCATTTGAGCTGACAAATACATAAGGGGGATGAGATTAGGGGCAGCGCGGTTAAGGAGCTCTTTAAGTCAAATGGAAAATATGTAGCCTAGGATTTAATCCTAGTAATCAGAACCATTTTGTCAAATGCACTTCTTCGCGTTTTCAAGCTGTGAAAGTTCTGGTTGTTCATGCGTCCACTTCTGCAGTCCTGTTTCAGACCCTGAGTGTGCATCCGTTTGACAGATCGGACTCATTTGCGTGCAGACTGTTAGTTCCTTGCCTCTAAGGAAACACACAATTTAAAGCTGTAACAGTAAAATAATCATAGAATATTGATTTTTTAACAAAATGCGACAAAGAAACATGAATTACCATCAGGCTTGCGCTTGAAGACATATTGGTGCATTTGATGGTCAACATTCGTGGATCCAAGGTGAGCTCCGGCAGCTAGAAGCTTCAACATATCTTCCTCCTTGACGGAGAGTACTTCTAGTCCTCCGGACATCGTGTGTGTTTTAGTTGAGGGTGACGGTAAAAACCTGTCAAGGGAAAAAAATTCAAAGCTTATACACAATATACAACAAAATTATTAGTCACAATATGATATGAAGGTTGTATTAACAACTGCTGTAAAACATGCTCTGATGTATCATTTCCCTTAGATATTCAACAAAAACATTTGAATTCTCCCAAAACTGCCTACTCCTAGTTTATGCAACGGCATATGAATGACCAAATTACAGTATGAGGTAGGTTAGGCTGGGTAACTTTATAGACTAGGGCACCTGACAAATGTGCCAAAACATTAAATTAAAAAAAAAAATGTGTTTTCTTGGAAAAAGCATATTCAAAAATGATAATGCGTGTGAGTTCTCCCATGTGTATCCTTTAGAGGATGTAACAGAACTAACCCCAAGCTGTTGTTCTACACATTTTATGCCTAGAAGTTACTAGTTTGCCACTGCTTTTCAATAGCCAGCTCTCAGTACTACTGTCGAAAACAAACGCTAAGCACATCTGCAGCACCCAGAGTCACATAAAGCATTGGTACCAATTAGAATTTAATTATAACTAGCATTACCATAACAGAAAGCCTAAAGCCAACCTTGAATACTTATCGCTATTTTCAATCAAACTGATGTTAACAGAAAAACAGAGGACGTCCGGCTGTCGTAGACATGCGCCGTTAACCAGGTTCCTTCCCGCCGTTTTCAGCAATTTGCGGTCTTTTGGCAATTTCCGTTACCCTGGAAACCGTTCAAAACTTGCTTAGCAAATGTCGGCTGGGGTCATAATCTCTCATGAAATTTTGCGATTGGTGTGATTTTCACCCACTATAAAAAGCTGAAAAAGGCGAGAGGAACCCGATTAACAGTGCATGCCTACAACAGCCAGACATCCTGTTTTTCTGTTACATCAGTTTGATTGAAAATAGCGGTAACTATTCACGGTTGGCTTTAGGCCTTTAACATTACTTTACATGGTAATGCTAGTTATAATTGAATTCTCCGTCCAATTTTACATTTGTGTATAAAAATTTCTTACTGAACGGTGGCTTGGTAGATGTACAGTGACATTTTTCAGGCAATCGCTGGCTCAGCCAGTGGCTGTGTCTCATTGCCTGCCATCTTGTCCAATGACAGTCCAGTGTAAACAAAGCCGATACAGAACTGCGCAGTAGGTTGCGCAGTCAAAAAACTTCGTTTTTTCTGGGTCACAAGTTTTAGCGGCTGTTTCTTACATCTCATGCCAATGCCAATTGTCCAAGAAAAATTCCAAACTTGATCCTCTTTCAGCCGCCCGGAGGCCTGCTATATCGAAGGAGGGTCCTTTGCTGTCTTATATGGTTTCCTTTTATTTGTGGTGTGTAGTCACACCTGATATTATGGTTGTTTGCTTCCTTGCTGTGCTGCGTTGTTTGCGGTTTTTGGGTTCCGGTGTGACCCAGATCTCTTTGCGATGATAATCTTTGCTCTTTACATCTCATCTCCACAAAAACCTACATATCTCAGCTCAGAAATGACATACAAGCCTAAATGAGGTACCATTGGAAAGAGATTGTTTACAGCTATCTAACTGTGCTGGTTTTATTGGTGCAGAGAGCATTTTAAAAATTTTACTGAAGTAGCTAAAATAATAGCTCCTTCTCTAAAGGGTTAATTAAACTAATTTTATTTAACAGAAATATTGACCAGTGGTTGTAAGATTTAGTACACATAGAATATAACTTATTAATGCGTTAAGACAGCAGTTATTATTCTATAAATTGTATCTCATGCCAGGGCAAGCGATCCTCGTGCTGCACAAAACACATGTGGTCACTAGTTATCGATAATTGGTCGTTGGTTTGTATCAATTAAATAATGTTTTCTGTAAATATACAAGCATTAAATTAAAATATCCCAACTGCACACAAAGTTTACTAACAGTTTATCCGCAATACTAACGACAAAATTATTGCAAGTAATGAAGTATTGGAGCTGGAATAATAAAATATTGGGAAGAAAACTTACACGTGTGACGCCGAATAGAGGCTGAAGCAGAAAAGGAAGTTGGAGGTCACATCCGGCTGGGGGTCACGTGATATGTTGGATTGGATCGTCAATTTGTCATTCAAATTAAATAATGTCCCGCCACCGCAATGTACAAATTAGTTGCCTATCGTTTGAAGGACGTTGCAGAACCAACCCAAGCATTTTTTTCCGGCTGTGGTTTTCCTAGGTAAGTTTACGTTCAGTAGTTTGCCATTGCTTTCTGGACACCACAATGTAAACAAACATAAATAAACAGAGGGGAAAGCTCTGGGGTCGTAAAAACAATATTTGGCTATAGTTTATAATTGTAGTGGGATTATTAAATGGTAAAACCGTAATATCTTTTGCCTTTTGCCGTTTCTACTTCTGTTTTTAACCATTTTTACTGAACCGCTCAGCATATTGAGGAGTTTGCGACATAATATGTCCTGGGATTAAACAATGTTATTTATGGGAATTTCAGTACTAGTCAACTAAAAAAAAAAAAACATTACCTACTGCGTACAGACAGCTCTGCGTGTTGTCACATGTAGCAAGGACCTTTCGGAAAGCTGTTCTCCAAACGGTTCCAGATTTGCATTATGGTAGTAGGTACTTGATTATTTTCACTATTTACCAGAATCTGGCCTTTCTCGGCATTAACTTCCATGCCATATGTACCACAGACAATACTAGTGATGTATTGACTTTAACATAAAGTGCCACCATTCGGATAAGAATCCCCGTTCACAAGTCCTAGAAACCCCGTTCAACCGCTAGGTTATATTAGGGCCACCGACAATAACTGGAGTCGGGTTTTCAAATAGCAAAAACATTGCACCCCGTAATGAAACGGGGTGTTTTTATCTCGTTCAGGAAATGGATGTCTGGCAACAGCATGTCATGAAACAGCTTACAAATCCCTAACAATTTGATTTTATTACCAACAAATATTTTGCAGACAGGAATTGTACTTACTAATCAACTCCAAGCATGGCGTTTGCGCGAAATGTCAGTGTGTGGTTTAGGGGTTGCGGAGCGTTTCTTGCCTTGGTTTCAACAGTGGTACCAAGAGCTGACGTCAACAGCCAACAAATGCTGTGGTTGGTTCCACAACGTCCAGTGAAGGATACGCAATATTGTGTTGCATGGAATAGGGGGAATTTAATGGCATGATAGAATCACTAAAATACAGCTTTGGAAAAGAACTAAACAAGTTGCAGTGAACCAAGAGGTGAAGAAAATACGTTGGCATTGGATAGAACGCGCTAAAAAATAAGAACAATATTACTAGAATGTCTGTACACTGGAACCAATAATTTTAAACAAATAAAAACACCCGCCACACTTCCACCCACAACACACATAATAGGGGGATAGAGAGTGAAGTCAAACGGACGGGGATAACATGGGCTGATCTGTGTGCGGTAGCGAAGGATAGGATGACTTGGGGACAGTTGGTGCAAGTTGGTGCTATATTTGGAGATACATGGCGGCAGCATAATAATAATAATAAAAATAATATTTGAAATATTAATAATAATAATAAGAAGAAGGTGAAGAAGAAAAAGAAGAAGAAGCAGAAAAAGAAGTAGAAGAAAAAGAAGAAGAAAAAGAAGAAGACTCAAACCTGAGTCTAATCTCAGTGCAGTGCACAAACTTTGTAGCACCGGAGAATATCCTATTTACTTTGCTGTGTAAATCACCATTTGCAATCTACTCGATAGGTACCGTTTACTTAATTACGACTCTACAGCACCATAATAGGACAATGTTTACAAGTTACGACGCTGTTTACAAGGATACGACATTGTTTACAACCTCACGACACTGTTTACTATAATACAGCACACACACACACACACAAGCACGCACGCATGCACGCAGACACACACTCACACAGAGACAACTGTCTGGAAGTCTACGACACAACTTCTTCCCACCTGACGACCTACGCGACTTGCGACCACAACTTACGATTAAAAAAAAAGAATTTCTTTATTATCTTTTTTGTTTTTAGAACGTATTATGTATTTTTCACATTATACACACTAATTAAATAATACATAGATTGAATTGTTATTTAAATTTGAATAACCTGTTTAAATGTCAATAGTGTTGAAACATATAAATTCGTCTGAATATCTGTTCGACTTAAGAGACATTCGTCGGAGCCACGGCCAGCTCCAGTAATCTGGAGATGGCCGTGGTCGGAGCGTTACCTGGCCGTGAGGCGTGAAGCCAGTGTACTTGATTGATTTGTTGGCCAAGGGGCCAGCAACGAAAACTCACAACTGAGACAGATTTTAGAGGGTCACGCTTGCTCTGTACAAAAATGGAGCTTTACAAGCTCAGTGTAAGTTAGGCGTAAGACGAGTTGTTTACTTTCTTAACTTGGGAGTAACAGTTTACCACACCAGCATCAACAAACAAAGTGCCCACTGTTACCCAGATATTGTGTACTGCGTAGACGTAGCTTTGAGTTAGGACTCAGTTGTTGGTGACATTATTTCAGTTATACCAAGCGGAAGTTATGTTATGTCGACATACAGCGCCTCAATGTGACCAGGGAGAAATGGATGGTGCTATGTGAGAGGTTGGGGTTGAAAGGGTAGACAAAATCCTAGTAATATTGGTTTCGGTTGTGTCTCGAACTGCAGATTCTTCACAGTTCTGACGAGAATGTGCGATATGGGTTGTCAAACAAACAAGATTCATTTTTAAATTTTACAGTTGAACAAATATTTTTAATGTTCAAACAGGAGTAGCCTGTCTAACACAAACAAGCCTGCATTCTCTTTAATTTCTCTCAACATTATTTCACTATATAGAGAGAAAAGGTCTGGGGATAAGACACTTTCCTGTTTTACTCCAAGATTTATCTGTCCAAAAGTACCCAATTTGTTTCCCACTTTGTTTTTCGCTTACGCACTGGACACTGCAGACTCAATAAACACTCACATAAATTAGGTATGAGCCAAACAGCTCTCTG